AACTGTCATGTAGGAGGCTGATGGAGAAAGCCAAGATGATCATTTTATTTCCAGATTAAAATTGCTGCCTAGAAATGATCACAAACACAAACTGCCACTGTTAGAACACAATCCAGAAGCCACCACCTAACACGGGCAGCAGAGCTGGAGCAGCACTCACAATATTTTGATAATTCAAGTCATACCTTTATGAGTTTTTCCACATCCAGGTCCCTACTATACTATTATTTGCATAGTACATCTTTAAAACCTCACTTTTTATGCCAGAGATTTGCATGTAATCGGTCTGGGTTGTGTTCTGGGATTTAGAAAAATGTCCCCAGTTGGTTGTAAACATGAGCCAAGATTGAAAACCATTTCTTCAAAGCGAGAAAGGGGAATCCCAGATGGCAGGGATGAAGAGGAATGGAAAGGCAGAGCGGCGAGCGTGAGAGCCTGGGTGTGGGACCTGAGGAATGGCCGCAGGACCAGGAACTCGTTCCTATGGGCCAGAGGCTTCGATTTTAACACTCTCACGGGGACAGGTGATGAGGCCTTAGGCTTCTAAGAAAGGGGAGCTGGATCTGAGATTCATGCAAAAGTGAGGACCCTTGAAAAGCTGCTTGCTCAGTGAATGGAGGACCAGACAAATCCTAGCTGCTTGTGAGGGAGACTTGATTTGCTTAGGCCTCTTGGTGGGGAAAAAAATCTCTCTCATATAATAAACCAAAACCTAAGCTGAGAAATTCACTTAAACATTGGTCCAAACAATTCAAATATCCATCCATGGATGAATAAATAGACTAAATGTAGAATATATGTATAATGGAATATTATACTGCCTTAAAAAAGGAAGGAAATTCTGATACATACTGTAACATGGATGAACCTTGAGGACGTTATGCCAAGTGAAAGAAGCCAGATGCAGGACAAATACTGGATAATTCTGCTTACATGAGGTACCTGAAACAGTCAAATTAATAGACTACATACATTTTTTTTTCTGTTGCTTATATGGTATAATCCATATATATTCTACAATTTTAAAAAACTTTCATATTTGGGGAATCTTTTCATTTTGGTGTAGAGACTTCTTGTTTTTTCTGACTGATACATTGTTATACCATGCTATAATATAATTCATCTAAGGAAACATCAGAGACAAGAAAAAAAGAAAAAAAAAAAGGAAAGACATAAAAACAACAACAAAATACTATAATATGTTTACCCACAGCCTTGTCCATTAACATTAGATTGTTTATAATCTTCACTACAGATAATTCTGCATGTGCATGCTTGTACATATTTCTGCGTGGATGGATGCAAGCATTTCTCTTGGGAAGCTATGGAAGGTAGACTTCAATCAAGAGAAGACACACTTAACATTTCAATATTTTAACGTTTACAGATTGCTCTCTGTAAGGGCTATATCAATACACGCCCTCATAATCAGTGTATGAAAACACCCACGGCGTCATCTTTTACCAAAACTAGTCGTTTTCCCTTGTTTAAAGGGATTCCCTCTGATTTTGTCTTTCTCCTTAGCATCCTCCACCCCTTGTCTCCCTTCTGGCCGTCTCCTCCTTCAGCAGACCCCAGGCAGACACGATTCACAGACTCATACGTGGCATTCAAGCCGTAAAACGGCCCCAATGTATAGCTGTGTGGTCAGAAGTTATGGGATGAAAACACTCACATAGACACACACACAGGGTTTGCAAAATCACACACGCACGTCTTCACACACAAACACCGTATTCTTTCCAGTCAAGATAAGCATATTAGTGGGAAAAGTCCTGCTGGACTATCTCACTTCCCTGTGTGGGCGGCCCAGATAAGTGGCCTCTCAGGTCTGGACAATAATACCCAGCCCGACAGCTTGTCTGCAGCCTCTCCGTCCCCCCAACCCCCACCCCCAAGCCTCTGCGAAGCTGACTCTTCTGGGTGGGGCCTGGCAGGGGGTGCACAGCTCTGAGCAGACCCAATGGGCAGACAGTGATGGCAAGAGGCGCTCCTGGGGCCCGGGAGGCGGTGAAGCTCATGGCGGCGGCAGTGATGGGGATACACTGGCCAGGCCGGTGCCCAGAATCGCCAGGGCTATGATGGCAAATCAGAGCCATTAGAGCAACCGTGGGGGCCCAAGGTGTCGTGCTAGGAAGCGGGGATGCCGGCGGCTCAGTCTGCGGCGTGGCCAGCCGGGTTTGCAGACCTCTTTCCTTCCTTTCTTCCATTCCCGGGGCACAAGGGCAGGCTGGTGCCTGAAAACAAGGCCTCCCTCTTCCTCCGCTGCACCCCTCCTCTCCCACACCGCTCAGGACTTACGCCGTGCCTCTTGTTCAGTGGTTTAGGAGGTTCCCGGGACTCTGCTAGCTCTGGAGAATACAAAGAGGCCCCGTTCTCGCCTCCGAGGACCTCGCGGTCTCGGGAAGCCTCCTGCCCACCCCGCCACTGCCATTCCAGATGGTCTCTCTCCCGCTTCTTGTGGTGCAAGAGACAGGGTCTTACTATGTTGCCCAGGCTGGTCTCAAACTCCTGGCCTCAAGTGATCCTCCTGCTTTGGCCTCCGAAAGTGCTGGGATCCCAGGCGCGAGCCACTGTGCCAGCCGTCATTTCCTCTGCATGTCAGCGAAGTTATGGGGAAGGGCGTCTGGAGTGGTGAGTGGGGCTCTGCTTCCTCAGGATGGCGGGAAGTTCTTGATCTGAGGCTGGGGATCAAGTTGCTCCTTGTCCCATATCCAGGGTTGGAGAGAGGCTGGAGCCTGGGAGGCCCTGCCTGGAAACCTGGAGGCCGCGGCAGGCCTTGCAGAGTGTGAAGCCGCCCGCTCGGATGGTCTCGTCTGATTTCCACCACCTGGAAGGGAGAACGAGCAAGACTTCTGGTACCCGTTACAGATGAGGAAACTGGAGCCTACAAAGGTTAAATGGCTCACTCAAGGCTGCACAGCTGGGAAGGAAAGAACCCAGGTCTCCGGACTTGAAATCCGGCATCCTACCCGTGGGCCATGTTCTTGGAAACTTGCACCACACGCAGAGCCCCCGAAGGAGGCCAGACGCTCTGGAGGGCGTCCTCTCAGGACCCAGACCCCTGTGGACACCCTTAGGAAGGGATGGACAGTGAAAGCCACACGTATGCCCTGTGCAGCCCCCAACACTGGTACTAGATACCACATTGTTAAAAGGGGGGAGAGAAACATGAAGGGCGGACCCGAGGGCAGCCGGCTGGCAGGTGGTCATGAGCTACTTGCGAGTATGTATGCCTCATATTTTCAGCTCCCGTGGATGAAATTACTGGCCTTTTTCTTAGACACAGCCTGAGTCTTTTGCTCTCCAGTGTGATTGAGATCCCAAACCCTCAGACTTTTTTTTTCTTTTTTCTTTTTTGAGACAGAGTCTCGCTCTGTTGCCCAGGCTGGTGTGCAGCAGTGTTAATCTCGGTTCACTGTAACCTTCATCTCCCGGGTTCAAGCAATTTTCCTGCCTCCCAAGTAGCTGGAACTACAGGTACCCACCATCATGCCACCATGCTCGGCTAATTTTTTGTATTTTTACTAGACGGGGTTTCGCCATGTTGGCCAGGCTGGTCTTGAACTCCCGACCTCAGGTGATCCACCTGCCTGGGCTTCCCAAAGTGCTGGGATTACAGGCGGGAGCGACGACACCTGGCCTGACTTTTTACTTTTTGTTTTGTTTCCCTACCCTCTCCCTCCCACCTCCCTCCCTCTCTCCCTTCCTTTCCATTTCTCTCCTTTCCTTTCCCCCTCCCCTCCCCTCCCCTTTCTTCCCTTTTCCTCTTTTCTTTTAACAGGATCTTGCTTTATCACCTAGGCAGTGGTGCAATCATAGCTCATTGCAGCCTCAGCCACCCAGACTCAAAAGATCCTCCTGACTCTGCCTCTCAAGTAGCTGGGACTACAGGTGCACACCACCACACTGGGCTAATTTTTAAATTTTTAGTAGAGATACGGACTTACTGTTACCCAGGCTGGTCTCAAAGCTCTGGGCTCAAGCAGTCCTCCCACCTCAGTCTCTTAAAGTGCTGGGATTACAGGTGTGAGCTATTGTGCTTGACCCAGAGCCTCCTTCCTCTTTCCTTCTTCCTTCCTCCCTCCCTCCCTTCCTTCCTCTATTTAAAGTAAGACAAAACAAAAAAACTTGCATTTGTTGAGTACTTACTACATACTGGGCACAAAGTAGTAATTCTTACAATGGTGCGCTGAGATGGTGACAATCACGTCCCCGTTTTACAGATGAGACCACTGAGGTCTGGCGAGGTTAGGTGACCTGCTTGGCTCCAGCCCACAAGGCTGTGGGAGACGCAGGCCCAGCTCCAGCGCGCCCTCTTTCCCGTGACCGCGTGCACTGCATTCCAGCCAGGGAAGCAACCAGCACCCTTAAAGCATTGGACCAGACTGGAAAAGACCAACAGTGAGGCCACCAGCGCAGTGACGTGCCCAGGCGGGATGTGACTGCTTCCCTGAGGCCATTGCCTGCCTGAACGACTCTTCCCGCCCTCCCTGCGGGCCCCTCCATAGTCACACACAGTACCCTGAAGGAAGGGGGCCGAGGAGCAGGAGAGTGGACCCCGAATCTAGACAGGGATTGAGGCTTGAATTCCCACTCTGGATTAAAAATGACTGAGACTCTCAACATGGACCCAGTGAATGGACTATGGTCAGCAGGCTGAGGATGGAGAGCAGGGACTCAGAAAGGGAGGCTCCTCTGCCGCCTGTGTAGTAGCCTCTAACTCAGCTACTGTGCACCCCACCGCAGTGTGGAGGAGGGAGGAGGTCAGGCTGAGAGAGGCGGCCACGTGCAGGGCCAGCGCTGGCCCCGGGTGGCAGGGGTCCTGGATCAAGGCCATGCTTCTCTGATTTGAAGGCTGTGGCTGACACTCCACAGAGCCTCCTCCTGTGCCAAAGTAACCAGAGCAGAGGCCAGCCTCCGCGCTCCCTTCTGCTCCCGTTCCGGAGGCCTGGCTGGCTGATAGGGGCTGTGTCCCTCGGATGAAGTCATCTGTTTTGGTGCCAGGGAAGGGAAGGGCTGGGGGAGCCGGCGGAGGGGCCATCGGGGCCGAGCTCTGTCTGCTTTTCCCAGGCTGGCGCCGCGGGGAGGAAAGCCTGGGTCTTGTCTGGGAGTGCCCATCACTCGGAGGCAGTGGGTGGGTACCCTGAGGGCAGGGCCTGTGCATTGTTAGGAAATCAGAAAGAGAAACAGGAGCCTGGCTGAAGCGTCAGGGAGCCGGAGTTTGCAGGCTTCTTGCTAATGTTGTCCAGCTGATGTTTGAATGATTTCTGCGGTGATCAGATGTGAGCACACATCTTGGAAGACACACTATCCTACAATCTATGGAAGATGGAAAGCACTGAAGGGCATTCAACACGGTGAACACTTGGCCTTGCTCTGCAGACGCTTCTGTGATTTGTTGCTCTTTGAGGGAAGCCCTATGCAGTTTGTGAATTTTCTTTCTAGACCTCAGCAAAGCTTGGGTTTTTGATTAATTCTATCTCATTAATTAGAATCTGGGTAGAGGTCTGACAGGGGCTATGAATTCCTATCATCAACGAATAGAATCCGATGCACCAACATCCCTGACCTCGAAGGAGGCCCCAGATACGGTGCTAACTGCAGCAGCTTCCTTGTGCTCTATTGTGCAATTAGTTTTCTGTTTATCAACGAGTAACTGAAGTTCAGAAAGTTAAGTACCTGCCCTAATGTCCCGTAGCTAGTGACACACTGAGCTGAGCCCAGGCTGACTGCATCCAAGTCTCTAAAAGTCTCTAACATCTTTCAGTGCTGTTCTCCTAGTACTCTTTTTTTTTTTTTTTTTTGAGAGGGTCTCACTCTGTCACCCAGGCTGGAGTGCAGTGGTGCAATCTCGGCTCATTGCAGCCTCTAATTCCTAAGGTCAACTGATCCTCCCCCCTCGGCCTCTGGAGCAGGTAGGACCACAGGTGTGCACCATCACACCTGGCTACATTTTTTTTTTTTTTTTTCGGAGACAGTGTCTCACTCTGTTACCCAGGCTGGAGTGCAGTGATGCGATCTCCGCTCACTGCAACCTCCACATCCCAGTTTTAAGCAATTCTTCTACCTCAGCCTCCTGAGTAGCTGAAATTACAGGTGTGCACCACCACACCTGGCTATTTTTTTTTTTTTTTGGTGGAGATGAGGTTTCACCATGTTGGCCAGGCTGGTCTTGAACTCCTGACCTCAAGTGATCTGCCCACCTCAGCCTCCTAAATTGCTGGGATTACAGGAGTGAGCTACCGGGCCAGGGGGGTGCTCTACTCTTCAGTGATTATTATTAATATTTTTGTTTTGCCTCCACCTGCCTTGTTTTCCAAATGTGTGTCTTTCCTTTTACATTTTGAATGTACAACTTTTTGCAGAACTGAACCCAATTGATACATCTTATCTTTGCGAAGGATTTCCACTTCCTAAGTGGTCAGAAATTGATTTCCACCCATTGTTTTTGCCAGCTTCCTTCCTTAAATGCACGTGGTGGGGCATGGGGCACTGGGCTGCCCCTGCGAAGACCTGGGATCCAGTCTGGTTTCTGACCTCCCTCACAGTGTGTGTGATCCTGGCAATGTCCCTTCCCCTCTCTGGGGCTCCGTTTGCTCATCTTCACAGGTGATTTCCAAGGGCCTTGCCAGATCCATCTCCAGGCACGTGTGTGTTTACAGGAATGGAGCTGCCATAGACACCTGGGCCTCCTGGCTGCTGTCTCATGGGCCCACAGCAGGGGCTGCTTTCCTGGGTCAGATCCAGCAGTGGCAGGAGTATCCCCCGGACAGCGTCGCCCAGTGCTCACCTGGTCCTCAGCCCTACCTTGTCCGATGATTAGGACACGCATGGCTGTGCTCCTTAGTTTGAATTTTTATGTGGGCCCTAGCTCCCCCTTGCTGTGTGAGGAAGACCACAGCTGTAACCTCTTGGGCCTTTATTGCCGTAAACTGTCACATTCTGTAAACACCGGTCACACAGCATTTGGAGAGTGGACATTCTTGTAGAGAAATTTCACAAAGAGATGCCTTGCCTTTGTTAATCTACTTTACATTTATTTATTTGAGTCTCGCTCTGTCTCCCAGGCTGGAGTGCAATGACATGATCTTGGCTCACTGCAACCTCCGCCTCCTGGGTTAAAGTGATTCTGCTGCCTCAGCCTCCCAAAGCAGCTGAGACTACAGGCATGGGCTACCTTCCTGGCTAATTTTTGTATTTTTAGTAGGGATGAGGTTTCACCATGTTGGCTAGGCTGGTTTCGAACTCCTGACCTCAGGTGATCCACCTACCTTGGCCTCCCAAATTGCTGGGATTGCAGGGGTGAGGCACCATGCTCAGCCCATTAATCTATTTTGCTTTAAAATTTTGTATTACTGTTATTTTTGATAGAAATAATAACAGAGGGGGTACAAGGACATGACGGAGTGCCGCCTCGGGGCTGGGGTTGGGTAAACAAAGCCCTGACCGGCCAGGCACAGGGGCTCACGCCTGTAATCTCAGCACTTTGGGAGGCTGAGGTGGGTGGATCATGAGGCCAGGAGTTTTAGACCAGCCTGGTCAATATGGTGAAATCCCCCACCTCTATTAAAAATACAAAAATTAGCTGGTGGGGTGGCACACACCTGTAGTCCCAGCTGCTCCGGAGACTGAGGCAAGAGAATCGCTTGAACCGGGAGGCAGAGTTTGCAGAGGGTGCAGTGAGCCGAGCCGAGATCGTGCCACTGCAGCACGGCACTCCCGCCTGGGAAACAGAGCGAGACTCTTGTCCAAAAAAAAAAAAAAGCTGAACTATTATTATATTTTTACTTTTAATTGTGCTGCAAAACGTGTAACAAAATTTACCATCATAACCACTTTTTTTTTTTTAGACAGAGTCTGGCTCTGTCGCCAGGCTGGAGTGCAGTGGCGCTATCTCTGCCCACTGCAACCTCTGGCTCCCTGGTTCAAGCGATTCTCCTGCCTCAGCCTCCGGTGTAGGCAGGAGAGTACAGGCACGTGCCACCAGGACCAGCTAATTTTTGTATTTTTAGTAGAGATGAGGTTTCACCATGTTGGCCAGGATGGTCTCAATCTCCTGACCTTGTGATCCGCCCACCTAGCCTCCCAAAGTGCTGGGATGACTGGCATGAGCCGCCGTGCCCGGCCCATAACCACTTTTGAGAGTATGGTTCAGTCCTGTGACAGAGACCACACTTTGTTATGCAATAGGCCTCTAGAACTTTATCTTACAAACCAAAACTGTGTCGGCTTTGCTTGTTATTGAATGCTGACTCTGCCCAAAGCATTGTGCTGACCACGAGGACCAAAAAGAAAAGGAAACAACTGATTGCCAAGCAGAACTTCAGAAAAGACACAGGATTCCATCAGCTTGTCCACCCCCAACTCCCGCGGACCCTAAGCAGTTGTGCTAAGGGCAGGAGAGGTGGAAGAGCAGGCAAAGTCTGCCACCTGGTGGCAGGAAAGAGTCACAGTCCACAAGGGAGGCTTCAAGAGGATCCCACAAAAGTGGGGAACAGGAAAGAGGAAGAAGACATCTAGTGTCAGGTACGCAAAACAGCAGGAATTGTTGGATAAATGGAGGTGAAAAAAACATTTTTGGCTGGGCGCCGTGGCTCACACCTATAATCCCAGCAGTTTGGAAGGCTGAGGCGAGCAGATCACCTGAGGTTAAGAGTTAGAGACCAGCCTGGCCAACATGGCGAAACCTTGTCTATACCAAAAATACACACACACACACACACACACACACACACACACACACAAGCTGGGCATGATGGTGCGTGCCTGTAGTCTCAGCTACCTGATGAGGCTGAGGCAGGAAAATTGCTGGAACGCAGGAGACGGAGGTGGCAGTAAGACAGGATCGTGGCCCCTGCACTCCAGTCTGGGTGACAGAGGGAGACTCCATCTCAACAACAACAAAAACAACAAACAAAAACCACAACTTTTTTTTTTCTTTTTTTTGAGACAGAGTCTGGCTCTGTCACCCAGGCTGGAGTCCAATGGCATGATCTTGGCTCACTGCAACCTCTGCCTCTTGGGTTCAAGTGAGTCTCCTATCTAAGCCTCCTGAGTAGCTGAGATTACAGGTGTACCCCATCATGCCCAGCTAATTTTTGTATTTTTAGTAGAGATGGGTTTTCATCAGGTTGGCCAGGCTGGTCTTGAACTCTTGACCTCGTGATCCGCCTGTCTCGGCCTCTCAAAGTGCTGAGATCAGAGGTGTGAGCCATCACACCTGGCCAAAACACAACCTTTTTAAGAGACACATCCGGCTAATTTTAAAATTGGTTTTTGTTTGGCAGGGCACAGTGGCTCATGCCCGTAATTCCAGCACTTCGGGAAGCTGAGGCAGGTGGATCACCTGAGGTCAGGAGTTTGAGACCAGACCAGCCAACATGGAGAAACCTTGTCTCTACAAAAATACAAAAATTAACCAGCTGTAGTGGCACACTACTCAGGAGGCTGAGACGTGAGAATCATTTGAGCCGGGAGTCTGAGGTTGCGGTGAGCCGAGATGGCACCACTGAACTCCAGCCTGGGTGACAGAGGGAAACTGTCTCAAACAAGACAAAACAAAACAGAACAAAAACCCCGCAAAAACAAAACTTATAAGATACCACTGCACACCCACCAGAGGGTGAAAATGTAGAAGACAGGCAATGCTGAGTGTCTGTGAAGATGGGTGGCAACTGGAACTCTCTCTTTGCTGCCTAGGCTAAACCGGGAGAGGGGTGGGGAGAACGAGCTCTTGGCCATGGTGGTTCGCCATGGGATGAGCAGAAAGTCAGCATATCCTGGGCCGGCAGAACCCAGTACTTATTTGTAATTACTCTCTGTATCCTCCAAAGATTCTGCTTTACATGAGACAGCGCGGACTAAGAGAAGGAGAGCAAGAGTGAGGTGGGGCTCTTCACGGCTTAGGCACTTGCCTAAGCAGCCTTTCATTTAGAGAAATGAAGGGGAAACATCCTGTTCCTCCTCGATTACCATGTGGAGCATTGCATTATTTCCATTTTCCTTTGAAAAACATTGAGAGCAGAATAGATAGATTTTGGCCTAAAATTGACCTCTTGCTGCTTCCAGACTAACTAAGGCTTCTGAGCCCATGGTAGGGAATCGCGGAACCAGGAGGACTTCAGACTCCCCTGGAGCCATGGTGAAGGAAAGCACAAGCATGTTCAGTAATATTAGGCAGGGTCTTCCCAGGGGCTTTTTAAATTTGTATTTTTGAGACAGGGTCTTGGTGACTCACCCAGGCTGTGTGCAGTGATGCAGTCATGGCTCACTGCAGCCTCGACCCCCCCAGGCTCAAGCAATCCCCCCACCTTAACCTCCTGAGTAGCTGGGAGTACATGTGCGAGCCACCAGACCCGGCTAGGTTTTGTATTTTTTGTAGATATGGGCTTTCGCCATGTTGCCCAGGCTGGTCTTAAACGCCTGTGCTCAAGCAACCTGCCCCACGTTGGACTTCCAAAGTGCTGGGATTACACGCGTGAACCATCACACTCAGCCCCAAGGGGCTTTTGTAGTTGGGCCTGGCTCACAGTTCTCAGCATTTGAGATGAAATGAACCCAGTAAACAGAAGTTCTGAAAGCTGAATTGGCTGGGTTCCCTAGAAGCGATTTAGGACGTAGTTACCAAGCCTCCAGGTCGCCTGCTTGCAAAGTCAGAAAGCCAGGCTGCTTTTTTCCGGTGTGTGTGAAGGGCTCGTCCTATAGAGAACGCCTACTCAGTGTCAGGAGGCCAACCGCAGATGACAGAGCCACGTGAGTGCACATGGAGAGGACGCAAGGCTTTGGACATTCTGCCAAATCCAATAAACGCCCTTCCCCACTCCAGGGAGGTTTTGGTCTGGGGAAGAGTCCTGGGACACCTCGAACACTTGCACTCCTCTGCCCTTCTCCAGGCACAAGGAAGGCCATCAAGATACAGGCTGTACTTGTCAGGACTTGGGCTGGGGCCGGCCAGGCACCCAGGAGTCAGCCTGCGCCTGAGGTTGGGGGAGGAAAAGCACCATCAATTGCGCCCAGAGACTTTGCTTCAAGGTCTTTTATCCCTCTGCGAGGGGGCTGACTACAGGGCAGTTGAAGGAAAGGTCAGTTTCTTCTGCAGCTTCCCTTTCTTCTCAATGCCTCTCTTGCCTAGCTCCGCCGTTGAGCAGAGCTGAGCAGTGCTAGCCTGTGGGGAAAACCAGACAGAAGCTAGAAATTTCCTGCCCAGATACTGGGAAGGAACTTTCTCAGACCAGTTTCAACCAGTCAGGTCCTTTCAAAGTCCCAGCTTATGAGCTTAAGGATCCCTGCCTCGTGGTCCGGTTGGAAGGGATGATTTCTCTCAACGACCTGACTGATGCTTTTCTGGCCTGACTCCACATCTCCAGAAAGTTGCAGTTCACCTCTTCCCTTTCCGGTGCCAGCAGTACTCTCAGAGAGACCGGGGCATCATACTATAGATCAGGAAGCAGAAAGGGAGCGGCTGGATCCGTGTTTGAATCCCAGCTTTGTACACTCATGAGTTGCATGGTCCTGGGAAAATGCCTCGTCTGTTCTCAATGTTAGTTTTTACACCTGCACTTTAGTTATGAAAGATTTTACACTGTCAGGTCCCCTGATGGGTTGGCAGTTAGTTGGGTAATCTGCTCCATTTTTTTTTTTTTTTTCCGAGACAGAGTCTTGCTCTGTCACCCAGGCTGGAGTGCAGTGGCACAATCTCGGCTCACTGCAACCTGCGCCTCCTGGGTTCAAGTGAGTCTCCTGCCTCAGCCTCCAGAGTAGCTGGGACTATAGGCACCTGCCACCACACCCAGCTGATTTTTGTATTTTCAGTAGAGATGGAGTTTTACCACATTGGCCAAGCGGGTGTTGAACTCCTGACCTTGTGATCTGCCCTCCTCTGCCTCCCAAAGTGCTGGGATACAGGCGTGAGCTGCCACGCCCACCCCATCTGCTCTGATTTTGGAGAACAAGATTGGACGACTTCCTTACAACCAACCTCAGGAAGCAGAGCGCGGAATCCGTCTGAACACCTCATACTTAGTCAATGCTCCTGTATTGCACACTGGTCCTGGCTCCTGCCTGAGTTAAGAAGCCGTGATATTGGGCTGGTGTGGTGGCTCACACCTTTAATCCCAGCACTTTGGGAAGTCGAGGCTGGTGGATCACTTGAGGTCAGGGGTTTGAGACCAGCCAGTTCAACACTTTGAAACCCCGTCTCTACTAAAAATACAAAAAAATTAGTTGGGCATGGTGGCGCATGCCCGTAGTCCCAGCTACTTGGGAGGCTGAGGCAGGAGAATAGCTTGAACCTGGGTGGAGGTTGCAGTGAGTCAAGATCACACCACTGCGCTTCAGCCTGGGTGACAAATCCAGACTGCATCTCAGAGAAAAACAAAAAGCAAACATAAAAAACCCGCCACGACTGACGTCTAGACTATTAAGTCACTGTCCCTTCAGCGTGTGGCCGCTGGCATTGCCTGCTTAAACCCTAAACTGTGAGGGTTGGCATGGCTTGTGAAATACGCTGCAGTATGTAGCAATCGGGTATTTTTTGGAGGGAGTGTAAGGAACTGCTACTCCCATCAACTCTGTGTGACAGAATTGCTTCTGTCCTCAGGGCGGGTCTGTGGATTCACTGTCCTCAAACTGTTTGCTGCGCCAGGAAGAAATGATATCTCGATGGCACCCATGTGATTCTGTCACTCATCCCAGTAACATTTCTGGGGACAGAGGTCTCTAAGCCTAAATTGTGGACCCTCCCCATGGGTGTTCTGGGACTTGGAGAGTGAGGTTGACACCTGTGTCCCCCACAGAGACACTGCCCACTGACTCTGAGTCCACACCCAGGGGGCTGCAACGTCAATACATTATGCTGTTTGTGTGTGATAATTTAGTATTCTTGTTTCTCGTGTGGGTTTTCAGCAGAAATAATTGTACACGCTTCGGTCCTCTCTGAATGCTGCTGGAGAGACTTGTGTCTTTTCTGCCTTACTGTCAAAGTTAGAGCAGCATCTCCACCAGGCAGGAATGGCCATGAACTTAGGAACTGCAAGAAAAGGGTCAAGGGTTTTAGCCTTTTTTGAGCTTTGGATTTTTTTGACATCTGCTGAAAGTGTATCTGCTTTTTCCTTTCACCCGGTTTTCTCTTGTATTTTCTTTTTTTCGTGTTAATTTCATTGCATTTGTATTATTTGTGAACTGTTGCAATGTCCTGTTTTTTTTTGGTGAGAGGTGGTTTGAAGTAGGCACGGGCAGGTGGTCTGACACACAGAGCCTCTGTGGACACCCGCACACCCGCAGGGACCAGCTGAAGCACAGTGCCCTCGGAGGCTCGCCTCGCCGACCAGGGTGATCTCCGGTTTTTCTTCTTTGCTGGAATTTGGGGGATTGATGTTGAGGCAGAGTTCTGAGCAGGCAGCTCGCCCCTGCCTAGCATTCAGTGCAGACGTTCAGAGCGGGCCTGCCAGGCACGTTCCCGGCGAAGCGAGATCCTGAAACCCAGCTACCCTTCTCTTTTCTTGGCAGCGAACGACCAGGGTCTCCATGCAGACTCGAGGCCTCTGCCTCCAGTGGGAGCCCTGGAGTGGATGTGAGGACCCTGGGCAGTGCTGCCCCACAGACACTGCAGGTTTGGAGTGGGCGTGTGTGGGCCAGCGCTCCACCTCTGTGGTGAAAGCAGCATGTTCGGTGCGTGGGATCTGAGGGTGACACTGACCGTGACTCATGAAAGCCACTGTGTACAGAGCCATGAATGCGACTTGGCAGCCAGAAGCACTGTGGCCTTAAACCACACGATGAGCGTCAAGGGGCTTGTCATTCGGGGGTCTGGTTGGAGTCTTGCCTCCTCTTTGGAACCACAGTCTGGCCACATTTTCATACTTACTAATGGAGAGGTGCAGCAACCTGACCCTGAAGACACTGGGTGCCAACTGCCTGGGTTTAAACCCAGCGCTAACTCTTACTTGTCGTGTGACCTTGGAAAACATTCTTCATCTGCGAAATGGGAGAAATTGTAGATTTTACTGCGCAGAGTAAGTTACCTAATAGATGTAAACCACTTACATGTTTCTATGCCCAGAATATATCATTGCTTGGGCCTATGAACTTGTATCAATCAATTGAATTTGTTTGTTTGTTTTTTTGAGATAGAGTCTCACTCTGTCATGCAGGCCAGAGCACAGTGGCATGATCTTGGCTCACTGCAACCTCCGCCACCCGAGTTCAAGTGATTCACCTGCCTTAGCCTCCCCGAGTAGCTGGTATTGCAGGCGCCCACCACCACACCCGGCTGATTGTCGTATTATTAGTAAAGACAGGGTCTCACCATGTTGGCCAGGCTGGCCACGAACTCCTGACCTCAAGTGATCCGCCCCCCTCACCCTCCCAAAGTGCTGGGATCACAGGTGTGAGCCATCAAGCCAGACCTGAATTTGAATTTGAAAGTGGAATGAGTAACTGCAGATGGGAGGGCAGGAAAAATAACAGGGGATGCATTTCACCACCGTGCTCCCTTTACAAAACGCTTCTGGAATTTTGCCAGTCAATTGTCAGAATCTGGTTCTCATTTGCGGCCCATGGCTCACGTGGGAGCTCTCAGATCCTTACACAGATTAGGAGTTCAGCCCTTTGAACCATTCACGTATCTTTTTATTTAGACCATGGATCTTTGGCTTGCGGGGGTTGAAACTTTGTCATATTTCTACAGCAAGACAAAATATTGTGGCAGAATGCAATCCATGTATATCCCGGTGGACACCCGAGGAAGCACACGGCGTTCTGGCTAGTGCAGGTGCGAACTTTGACTCCATCGTTCCCAAACATACCTCTTCCTCAAGCCGGGAGAGACCACAGAAAAGAACAATCAATCTTCGGGGCTGGGGAGAGATCCTAGGCTGCCATCACCTGGTGGGCGGCTTGTTACTTGTGATTTACTTCACCTCTTATCACATCTCAGCAAGGCACATAAAGCTCAGGCTAGCCAGGGGTGTGGGAGGGGAAACAGGAGTTTGGGTGGCTGCATGGTGATGTGTGCACGGACATTCATTCCCCTCCCTGGTGCCTTGTCAGGTCTTCGGGCTGCAGGAGCGCAGAGCAGGGCAGGAGCTGGGGTCCGCTTACTGAGCCCTAACCTGCTGGCCCATCTGATACTGGTGTCCTGTTGCTGCGCTTCTACTTAGGGGGTTTTTTAAGCATATCAATCTCTGGGAATCTGCCCATGTTCAGACCCACGCCCACTATCTTACCTGAAGGCAATAAGATTGCCAGGAAGAGGAGCAACGCAGAAACACAGAGGTTCATGGCCAAGGAGCGCACAGGGCTGGAACTTCCAGCAGCGGCTGTCTGAGGCTCCTTTATAGAGCTGGGCTGGGCTGAGCTGGGTGGGGCTGGTGGCTGGCCTCACTCTTCCTGGAGGGGCAGACTGAGATCGCAGGCTTCTGCAGAATTCCAGGAAGAGGAATTCTGCGCTGTTCAGTGCTGCCTTTTCTACAAACTGCAGGAAAAGAAGAGACTCAGCTAAGGCTGCCACGTTTCCTGGCAGCAGAATAGGACAAAAGACCAGGACTCCCATACCTAGGCCTGAACACTTTCCCTCTCCCTCCAAATGTACCTTGATATAAACATGACAGTGAAAACGTCTGCTCTGCTTTTTCTTTCCTCTGGAGAACGACTGAGCACTCAGGAGTGCAGAGCCGGGATGTTATGAAACACAGCCTTAATTTAAGCCTGAAACACAGCTCAAAGACACAGAGGGTCCCAAGGCGTCAAACACGGACCTGAGCAAGAGAAGGGAGGGGCTCAGAACTAGTGGAAAAGGGACAGCTTCCTTGTCTGGCAGCTGACTTATCTACCTGGCTGGAGGCAGATTCTGGAAAAAAAAAAAAAAAAGTTCCTGAAAAAGTTCACTGATGGACTGTTTTCCAGATGGCTGGTATGAAATGTTGGCTAGGATCAGGGGGCTTGGAAGGTTCTAGGAGAGATTTCTTATTTGGAGTTGAGGAGTTGGAACTCTCTCTCAGTCTCTACAAGAAGAGTTGGCTCAGTGCCGTGTTCAAGGTTGGATGCACAGTGTCCAGAGTGGGGCCAGACAGGGCTTCTCTGGAGCGACAGCTCAGCCCCCGGGAAGGGCCCTCAGACCTGTCTCTCGTGGGGTAATAATGGATGTCTGAGAGTGAGGATGACACTAACTTTGGTTTTGTTTTGACCCTTAAGGCAGGCTTGTACGCAGGCAGCCATGACCGCAGGGCTCTGAGTGCACGGCGTGGCAGTGGAGCATGCGTTACTGGCCATGCCCTGTTGCAGGCGCACACCCTCAGATGAATTATTTAGCGTTGCAGCCTCAAGATCTGCTTCTCAAAAAGTGCACTGCAACGTTTCATGTGTTTTTTTGAGGATGAAATGAGATATAGCTTATAAAATACTTTGCACTCACACTGCCATAGAGTAGGTATTCAATATTATTATGATTGTTAATTTTTTTTGAGACAAGGTCTTGCTCATCACCCAGGCTGGAGTGCAGTGGCCCAATCTTGGCTCACTGCAACCTCTGCCTCTTGGGTTTCAGCAATTCTTCTGTCTCAGCCTCCTGAGTAGCTGTGACTGTAGGTGCTTACCAACATGCCAGGCTAATTTTTGTATTTTTAGTAGAGACAGGATTTTGCCATGTTGGCCAGGCTGGTCTTGAACTCCTGACCTCAGGTGATCCACCTGCCTCAGCCTCCAAAAGTGCTGGGATTACAGGCATGCGCCACCTACCCAGCCAATACAGTCAGCACAGATTTTCTTAATTTTCTGGTTCTTGCTTACAAATCTCTCCTGACTCCCAAGTTGTAAAACTATTTCCTCTATTATCTTTCTTTTTTCTTTATTATTTTTCTTTCTCATTTAACTCTGTAACCACCTGTGATGATTTCTGTGTATGGTATAAATTAGGGGTCCTATTCAGTTTTTTTCCTTTATGAAAAACCAATTGTTTCAAGACCAAAAATTATTGAAAAGATTGTTGTTTTTCCACTGTCTTACTGTGCCACCTTTGTTTTAAATCAGACTCCACGTATGTGTGAGTCTAATGCTGGCAAACTTTATCAGTTCTGTTGTTCTCTTTGTCTATACTTGCACTAATGCTATGCTGTCTTACTGCCACAGCTTTATAATAAGTCTCACAAGCTTTTAAGTAAGATCCATCTATCCATCCATCCATCCATCCATCCATTTACGAATCTGTCTCCAACAGAGCCACATCTTCCCACTTAACTGTTTTTGGTGTGTGTGTGAGTGTCTTCACTATTTTTGGTTCTTTGCATTTCCATACAAATTTTAGAATCAGCTGGTCAAGTTCCCCCCAACAATAGTTCATTATGCTGTTAGTCTTGCTTCTTTCCTTTTGTGATGTACAGCCTCCTGAATGCCTGTGGGCTGTTGTATTTGTGGATTGAATACATCTTGTATTCACGTTGTAATGAACACTTTACAGAAAATAAAGTTGTGAAAGATTCTGCTTCCTAGAGAATAGTGAATATCCTAAGCACCTGTCTCCCCATCTCATGAATCCCAGAAGATACCAGTTGGGGCACAGAGCTCCTGTATCTTAACTTCCCTGGTTAGTCTCTGGGGATCAGGGAACCTGGAAGTGGAGAGGGATAGTGTCCACGGCTCTGACCAAGAGCTCCAAGTTTCATAACAGCATAGTAACACAAGGCAGATGGTTTAAAGATGCCTCACTGCATCTTCCTAGACAATCCTCCTCCCAAAGGATCTTTGTCCTCACACCCAGTCCATTCCTTGAGAATTCTTGAAGATGCCAGCTTTACTGAAGGTCTGGGATACATTCTCATGGCCCTGCTTAACATACGCTTATCCCTTTAGGTGGAATCACTTATGTCAAAAGGAAGATCAGAGTCAGTACAAGGAGGTAGCTTCTCATGTCTCCGTATAATTTTCAGACGGAGGTGGGGACACCTCTCCCATTGATCTGGGGGGTGACTGGGGCTGTAGCATGGCTTTACTTTGCTGTATAGAATTGATGGGAGAGCTGAGGGAAGTTAGAGTGAGAGTAAAAATGATTTCCTATATTGCTTCTCACTACTTAAAAACTGGGGCATTTCAGCCCGCAAGAATAAAGGGCCTGAACATAACATTCCTCTGGTTCTTCTGACTACTGGCAAAGCTGGACTTAAATTCTGGCTCTTCCAGGCCTGCTTCAGGTATCTCCATTCATTCACCATGTTCCTCTAACTGTATGTTGGGACAGGACTTAAGAGTGAGGGCTAAAGCTCCAAGAGCTAACTTCAGACCAAAACCCAAGCCCACACCTGAGCAGGAAGAGTCTGTCTGGTTTCACAGACCAGCTACTTAGACACGAGATTAATAAAGAAATTACTTTCTGCACCTGGGAAGATTCATAGAGGAAAATAAGATCTGATTGTCCCAAGTGATCAAGAAAGGTACGTGCCTGAAATGGATTGTGTAACCAGGTGCATCAATTTATTACCTTTAGTAGGATTTCATTGTGTTTGGGATCTTAGGACATTCTGTGAGGAGAGATGGCTTGGAACTGGTTCTTGGCTACACATAGGAAAGACTTCAGTGCTTGCTTTCAAGATTGAATGCCCTTGTGCCACTGGACTAGTGCCCAGAAGTCCTCAGGGCTAGTTTCACTCTTCATTAGCTCCTGCCAGATTGTCTACAGAATCTGATTCTTTCCTTTGGGCATTTTAGTATCTTCCCCTTCCTCAAATTTCTTAGCATAACTGTAACAAAGCAAGACCGTCCTTATCTCCACGGATTCCTGAGAATGACTGAGGGGCTTGGAGAAAGGCAGTTCTGTGATGTTGATAATGAATCTGGCATGTGATAGATGTTCAGCCTTACCTACACACCTGTGAGCAGACCCTCAGTTCACCCCTGCCTACTGACTCATATCTGCAATGGGTGAGACACAGACCCAATGTGGGAAAACTTTAAAGGCCAGGATCGCTATGGATGTGGGGAGAAATCCAGACAGGGTACAGATTTAGAGAGCTCCAGAGAGTGGGAGAGGGGAAGGAGACTGTTGAGTTCAGTGTGGCAGTCTACTCCATGGTGGACCCTGTGCTGAGGTCTAGGGATGTGAAGAATAGATGGGTGTTTCCCCTACAGTCCCACGGAGCATGGAGAGTTATAAAGCTCTAATTTTAGTATAAAGAGGTAAGAACCATGCCACTGTAGAATTATTAATATGAAAAGTGGGTCAGGCATGGTGGCTCACGCCTGTAATCCCAGCACTTTGGGGGGTTGAGGCAGGCAGATCACGAGGTCAGGAGTTTGGGACCAGTCTGACCAATATGGTGAAACCCTGTCTCTACTAAAAATAAAAAAATTAGACAGGCACGGTGGCACACATCTGTAATCCCAGCTACTCAGGAGGCTGAGGCAGGAGAATCGCTTGAACCCAGGAGATGGAGGTTGCAATGAGCTGAGATCACACCACTGCACTCCAGCCAGGGAAACAGAGTGAGACTCTGTCTCAAAAAAAAAAAAAAAAAAAAAGCAAAGTGATATTTTTTCTTTTCATGCAGCGAAGCGATTGGGAGAGAGAAATGTCAACATCTAAAGAGTGTTCTGCTCTTCAGTATTCATTACACTTGCACATTTACCACAATCCAGGGTTTATTTCTTGATTTTCTACTCCCCCAAAGTTTATGTACCCCTCAGGGTTAGATTCACATAAACAGGCTCATAAGATTGGCTTATACAAGTAGTTTCATAATATTTTAACTTGTGAGGAGAAACTGTCATCATGGGATTGAAATATTCTTTTGAGACAGAGTCTCACTCTGTCGCCAGGCTGGAGTGCAGTGGTGAGATCTTGGCTCACCGCAATCTCTGCCTCCCGGGTTCAAGCGATTCCCCTGCCTCAGCCTCCCAAGTAGCTGGGACTACAGGCATGCCACCATGCCTGGCTAATTTTTTTTTGTATTTTAGTGGAACTGTATGTTGGTGGCAGAACTGGGAAGGTTTGATGAGCAATTCAATGTGGACAGGGTGAGGGACAGGAGGTGACAGGATCACGTCAGGCATCATTCTGGAAACGGCGTGGGGCTGTCAGGAGATTGTGAAGTGGGGCTTACTTGTTCCCTGGTGTGCGGAGCCTCCAGATTTGTTCATTTCGCTTAGTCTTGCTGTAGCTATGGGGGCTCTTTTTTGGTTCCGTATACATTTTGGGATTGACTTTTCTAGTTCTATGAAGAATGATGGTGGTATTTTGATGGGATTGTGTGAAAAGTTTAGGGAATTTAAATCCTCTGACATCAATCTTCTCTGAGAAATAGGAAGCCAGAAGTTCTGCAGAGAGTAGGATGAGGGTGGGGACTGAGGGGGCAAATAGCATCTGAGGTTGACCAGAATGTATAAAAGGAACAACCAAATTTCCAAACTCAGCTTTCCTGTGGAGTTGTGTGATGTGTTCTAGTGGCTTTTAAAAGCCCGAGAGCAGGAGCAGTTCTATAGATGGCTTTTCTTCTGGCAAACGTGGTGAAAGAAAAAATGAAGAATAATTAGTGTTCTAGAAGAACAGTTGGTTGCTTTGATGTCGTTTGGGTTATAGAGATTACTCAGGAAGACTGAAGATTAATGTTTGTTAGGGGTTGAATTGTAACCCCACAAAAGATGCCGGAGTCCTAACCTTCATCACCTATGAATGCAACCTTAGTTGAAAATAGGGTATTTACATAGATCAAGTTAAGATGAGAGATCGTTAGGGTGGATTCTAATCCAATATGACTATGTCCTCATAAGAAAGCAAAATTGGACACAGATAGGTATATACAGAGGGAAGATGACATGAAGACAGCAGAATACCACCCCGAACCATGGAATGCGGCGGCTGCCAGAAGCCAGGAGACCCTGAGACAGTTCCTTTTCTGACAGCCCTCCGAAGGAGTCAACCCTGCCAACTACGTGATCGCAGACTTCTAGCCTCCAAGCCAGTGAGATAACACGTTTCTGTTGTTTAAGCCATTCAGTTTGTGGTAATTTGTTATGGATGTCCTAGAAAATGAACATTTTTTTTAAAGAAAAAAATTAGATTCTGTTGATGTGATATCACATATATGTGAGAACACGGTCCATGCTCTTACTGAACTTGCAGTCAAGTGGAGGAAGCAAATGTCAAAGAAAAACATAAATGCACAAATATCAAATTCTAATATTCTATATGCTCAGGATAAGAAAGGGTCCTCTGAAAGAGATTTACAAGAGAGAACCTAATTTTTTTTTTTTTTTTTTGGAGACGGAGTTTTGCTCTTATTGCCAGGCTGGAGTGCAGTGGCGTGATCTTGGCTCACTGCAACCTCCGCCTCCTGGTTTCAAGTGATTCTCCTGCTTCAGTCTCCTGGAGTAGCTGGGATTACAGGCATGTGCCATCATGCCTGACTAATCTTGCATTTTTAGTAGAGATGGGGTTTCTCCATGTTGGTTAGGCTGGTCTTGAACTCCCAACCACAGGTGATACACCTGCCTCGGCCTCTCAAAGTGCTGGGATTACAGGCATGGGCTACCACGTCTGGCCTGAGAACTAATTTTTATTGGAAAGGCTCAGGAAAATCTGTTCTGTGGAAGAGATGGATACTGTTCCTCTAAATGAGACTACATGTTAGGTGAAGGTGGGGAGGTAAGGGGTACAGATTTCCAGGCTGTGTAAAGAGCACATGTGAAATATCTGAGGTCGGCATATTTGAGAATACTGAAGGCCAGTAGGATGCAATGCAGTGAGAGACAGAACAAATGAGAGGACTTGGGTGGGGAGATAAGCCAGGGGCCAGGCCAGTATCCACACTAAGACGTTTCCACTTTATCCCAAAAGGAAGCCATCCCGCAGCGGTTTCCACAGGGCAAATGCATTAATCAGTTTCAGTTTTATAAAAGGTCATTTTGGTGTCCAAGTGGAGGATAAACTGCAAATATCTAAAAATGATATGGGAGGCCATTTAAGAGAACATTTACTGAGTTTAGTGACAGAAGGTGATGGCATGGATGCAGTGGCAGCAGTGGAGATAGAAATGGGCAAGTGTGAACTGTATGTTGGAGGCAGAACCGGGAACATTTGATGAGCAGTTCAGTGTGGACAGCGTGAGGGACAGGAGGTGTCAGGATCATGTCAGGTAATGGCATCGTTCTGGAAATGGCATGGGGCTGTAGGAGATTGTGAAGTGTGGCTTACTTGTCCCCTGGGGTGTGGAGCCTGGGTCAGTGAACAGTCTCTAGTCACCAAGGCTGCCAGGAAGCAGTGTCCTTAGAGAATCCATAGAGCAGAACCTAGCATTTCGCCAAGGCACTCAGGTGGAAGAGTGTTCTTGGGGGAAGACGTGAGGGAGAAGGTGTGTTTACAGCCTAACTGTGGTTCTGGAGGGCACGGTGGGAAGGGTTCAGATGGAGACAGAGGGGGATGGCTGGAGAACAGGAGATCAGGACCACGGGGGCTGGAAGAACGCAAAGCAGGCCGTACCTATTGCTGCAGGTTGGAAAGTGGTTCTCAGGAGAGTCCCTTCGTGCACTTGTGCATGCTTCATCTTTCTCTGTGCTCTTCAAAACCCAGGTCCTCTAGTCTCTTTGCTGATTTTCTTCTGCTCCGCAGTTCTTTAGGAGTCTTTCACAGATGTGTTCTTTTGACCACATCACAAACATCCTGAAGTTGGAAAACAAGAGTCCATTGAAGTGGCATATATTCGATGCATTCTTGTGAATAAAACAAGGACAGAGAGAGGGAGGCATGTGTTCCTCATCCTGGCTATTACACTGTCTGGTTGGAAGAGCAACATCTCTAGTTTTATTTATTTAAATAGGGAAGGGAGTCTCACTGTGTTGCCAGTGCTGATCTTGAACTCCTGGCCTCAAGTGATCTCCTCACCTCGGCCTCCCCAATTGCTGCGATTACAGGCACATGCCACCACACTGACCAATATCTATAGTTTTAAATGTCTCCTTCTGTAATATGGGCCTAACAGTTTTTTAAATGTATGTTCTACAAAGGACTGGCCTCAAAAATTACTTCATTTCTTCATTTGGCCTTACAACAAGCCTTCTTGGTAACTGGGACTGATGGAGTACAACCTCTTTTTTTTTTTTTTGAGACAGGATCTCACTGTGTCACCCAGGCTGGAGTACAGTGGTGCAATCATGGCTCACTGCAGCTTCGACCTCCTGGGTTCAGGTGATTCTCCCACCTCAGCCTCCTGACCAGCTAGGACTACAGGCACTTACTATCATGTCTGGCCAATTTTTGTATTTTTTGTAGAGACGGGGTTTCACCATGTTGCACAGGCTGGTCTTGAACTCCTGAGCTCAAGCAATCCACCCACCTCGACCTCTCAAAGCATTACAATTACGGGCATGAGCCACTGCGCTCGGCCAGGTGTGCAAGCTTCTTTACAAGTGAGAAAATTGATGGTCAGAGAGGTGAAGTAAGTGCTTTATTAAAAGCTTATCAAGCTATTGCATGCAGAATCCAGACCAGAAAGATTCTGGGTTTTGTGTTCTTTAGACAGTATCAGATAAAGTTGTTGGAAAACTTAAAATACTTTAACGACAAACACTGTCGACCTTTAGTCCCTCCAAGCAAGAGTTTTGTCATAAATTCTTTTGTGTGGCTCCTATTACCTGGCACACAGCATATACTCAATGGGGAGCCATAAGACTCAGTGTTTTTCCCAGGGTCATGTTGCGGGTGTGATGGGGACTTGCTTTTTCCATGTTGCTTCTGAGGAGCTCTTATTTTCCTAAAGAGATGGCAGCTATACCAGAACTGGGCAACGCCATACTTGAGTACTTCTGTATACAGGAGTCAGGGAAGCCTGCTTTTAAGTCGTGTTGCTGCCATTTAGGATCTACGTGAACTTGGGAAAGTCATTTCTTTCACTTCAGACTCTTTGCTTTGGCTTTTAAAATGGATAGAATCATGCCTACCTGGATTTTGTGTGTTTCGGGAAAAAAAAAACACTTTCTCAACTATACAAGGCAGGCTTATGGTTCTCTGCACACTATGGGCATTTGTTAAGTGGATGTACAACGAAGATACACAGACATCTACACAGTATCCGACCAGGGCCTAGAACAGGGCCGCTTACACAGTGAGCATGCAGCTGCTAGCATGCATGTGGCACCCAGGAAGTGTGCTTTAATGAAGAGATGTCATGCCCAGACCTTTTGCTGATTGGACTGCTCAGTGGAGCAGGCAGATGTTCTTGTTCCAAAAGGTTCACTAGCCATGCAGCTCCCCGTCTCGCCAAGGCTGCGTAGAGCGTCACTCTCCCGGTCACCGAAGCTGCTTCTTTGCTGATTGGTATGGTCACAAGGAGCGTCCTCTTGGGCCTTGTGGTCCTTGTCTTGCTCTCCTATGTCCCACCAGGTAAAATGGAGTCCTTCTCTGTAGAATTAGGAACAATAAAGGGAAGAAGGGTGTGAGGTTCTACGAGTAAGAAAAAGGAGGAACTGGACAAAGGAAGCTGGTGCAGAGAACGGGGAAAAGGTGCAAGGACACAGAGCAGGAGGCGGCTCTCTACAGACAGAAACTGGGCATGGGTTTTGGTCTGGGGAGCTGGTGAAGTTTGAGGGGAGGGTTGGACTGCTGGTGTTGGTAGAAGCAGGGCAGAGCAAAAAGATGAGACTTTGAAGAACACGGAGGACTTAGAGGTGAGAGGGCTATTTGAGGACTCTTAGAATTTGCCTTCCACCATCAGCCACACGTTATTTTTCACTCATTTAGAAGCCAAGGCAAATTTTATGCTGAGCAGAATCCATAGACACAGCTGGTTATTAAGATGTATTACATTAACTTATAGCATGACGAGGTCCTATGAAACATCAGTTTGAGGGGTTTACATTCTCTGGACAGAAGCCAGCAACTTGGTGACAATGAGAAAAGTCTACTTCAGTCACTAAAGTGAAGGTTCTCAAAACTGTTGTGCTTGTGGTTTTCTGGGGTCAGCAGAAAGCCCGTACCCTTTGCCTCAAACCCTCATCTATAAAGTGTATCACTCAAGGACCAAGTGTGAAGTGTTTAAAAGACAGATATGAGGCTGGGCACAGTGGCTCATGCCTGTAATCCAAGCACTTTGGGAGGCTGAGGTGAGTGGATTGCCTGAGGTCAGGAGTTCGAGACCAGTCTGGCCATGATGGTGAAACCCTGTCTCTACTAAAAATACAAAATTAGCGGGGCATGGTAGCGTGTGTCTGTAGTCCCAGCTACTTGTGAAGAAAGAAAGAAGGAAGGAAAGAAGAGAAAGAGAGAAATAGAGGAGAAAGAGAGAAAGAGAGAAAGAAAGGAAGAAAGGAAGGAAGGAAAGAAAGAAAGAAAGAAAGAAAGAAAGAAGGGAAAGAAAGGGACAGATATGAAGGTGGATCATGCTGAGATAGTGGCTGATTTTCTGCATCAGCCACTATTCTCTGGACACTGTGCACTGTGTCTCTACTGGACTCCTTTGTCCCCAGAAAGTTGCCTCAGGTCTAGTGAGCACACGGCGGGCAAGTTTGCCTGCTAATAGCCCTTTACCATACCACACTGATTATTTTCACACCACAAAGGCTCAGTCCACGGACTCATGGGGGCACCTGGGTAGACAGACTGTTAAGACTTAGCATGCAAGAGCAGGTGATTCAGTAGAGGCAATTCAGGGCCACCCTAACCCTCTCAAACTGCCTCTTACCACCCCTCCTCCACCGTTTGGTTTCCAGAGGCTCCCAGTTCTTAAGGTCTAGGAAAATTACTAGCAATAAATTTCCATATTTGTCTCAGGTATTTCAAACCATTTCACACTCATTCTCCCATGGGTTCTCTTAAGTGCTTTGTGATGAAGCACTTGATAAAAAGTCATGCAGAATATTATTGGAGAGTACAGGGGTAGAACTGCAGGCTTCTAAAATTCTAGTTCAGTGATCTTTCTTTCTTCATGCTGACACTTTAATCACAAACTGCCTCAGGCAGCTGTTCCAGACCCTGCACATCTTCTGGTAAGGGGCCTCTGCTGACTCCTGGGATGACTTCGATGTTCTGAGTGTTCTTTCTGTAGCAAATAATCTCAAGCTGAATATGTTGGCCCCTGTTAACTCCATGTAGTTGATTAGTAATTCATGTAATTAATTGTGAAGTCATAGAATGGCTTATAATAGGACCCCCAAACAACAAGGTAAGAGCCACTGAAAAGGGACATCCAGCTGTAAAACGTCTTGCAGCATGACACTGCAGGACACTGTGCATTAACCTTTGCTTCTCTTGGCAGGTAGAAGCGGGCCCAATGCCTACATACGAAAAGCCTTTGCTACATGTTGGCGACTACATGGTATTTGCAAGCAAAAATGTTTAAAACCCGAAGAATATCATATTTTGTGTGATACTACATTTCTGTGCTGTGTAAAGCCAAAACAGATGCCTATACTGACTGGGAAATAGTTGTGAGTACCTGGAAGCTGTTGCTGATTTCTTCTGGGAACCCAGATCCCTCTCAGTTGTAACCTTCGACTGAAACAATGGCTTTAGCCTATCAGTGTTCCTGTGTCTGCTGTCTTTCTTTTTATTGACTCTCCTACAGAAATACTCTAACTCCTTGTATTCAGTATTTTTTCTTTTTATTAGTTTATTGCTTCTTAAAAGTCTCTTAAGAACTTTTGAAGCATAACACACAATTAAAAATACACAAATCATAAGTAAGCATTATCCTGATAGTTGCACAAATTTAACACACATGTGTTTCAGCACCCTGCTCCAAAAAAGAACATCATTAACATCCCAGGCACTACCAGCCGCTAATCCATACAAAATGATTTCTAGCCTGACTTTTAATAGGAAACTCCTGACATCTACTTTTGAACTTTATATAAATGGTATTGTAGGTATTTCTTTGTGTCTGGCTTCTTCTACTCTACATTACTTTTGTGACGTTTATTAATCTGTTTCATGTAATTGTAGTTTATCCTTCTCAATGGCATATTGTATTACATTGGGAAAGATACTACAATTTATTTGAGTATTCTAGTGAAGATGGTCCTATCTGCGGTTTTCAGTTTTTGCTTTTATAAATACTGCTGTGGTGCAGGCATTTCTGTGGCGGTTATATACCTAGGAGTGAAATTGTTGGGCACTGGCTATGCACACATTCAGTTTTGGTAAATACATAGCATCTGATTGTTTTCCAAATTGGTTGTACCAACATATACACCCCCCATCCACAATGTCTGAGCATTCTTCTTGCTTTACATTCTCATCCACATCTAGTATTTTCTGCCTTTAAAAAATATTCTAGGGAGTATATAGTGATGACATATGGGGTTTAATTTGTGTTGTAGGGATGACCTAATGAAGCTGAGCACCTTTTCAGATGTTTATTGGCCATTTAGATATCCTTATTTGTAATATGACCCTTAAAGACGTTCGTCCACTTTTCTATTGGATTGTCCAACCTGGGAACCTACTAAGGAACACTCATGGTTTGACAGTGAGAACAATAAAAGAAGTCATATTGAAAATAGTTAAGCTGAAATACCGAGTATGTTGTAAGTTTGCAATGCACGAAAACATTGTGTGCTGTTTAGGATGACCAGGCCATAAAAATGTTTCTATCTGTGAAAAATTAGGAATGCTTTTCCAAAATGGTGGATTAGAAGAATTACTATCCTCTCTCTACCGCTTGGAAGGATTTCAAAACAGTGTGTACAGATTCACACTGTGAACTATTTTTCAAGAAGCAATGCAATAACCGAAGAAGAAAACCGCAGGAGTCTACTGATACTAAAGGAAGGAGGAGGATACAGCCTACATTGTGAGTCAGGCAAAGGGCGGCGAGTCCCCTGAGTGTGAGAGGGGGGATTTGCCTCTGGGATACGGACCTCACTAAGGAGCCTGAAAGTCCAGGACACGAGGTGGGGGTGCTTGGTAGGCGGAGGGGGGAGGCGGGGGGGGGGGGGGGGAAAGCCGTAACCGACCTAGCGCAAGAACAGACTTGGCGGGGGGGTTATGGAATATAAAAGTATTGCGTACTTTTAGGGGCAGCCCCTTGCATGCACTTCCAGAGTGCAGCCATGCCTTACTGCTCCTCACAGGAGGGCCTGCGGCCAGCTAAAACGTTCTGGCGCTGGTTGCAGGTTGAAAGAAGCTCTTCACAGGGTTCCTCAATACCACCTCGGATGGGGACGAACTTCCTTGGCCAGGGCCGGGAAGGGGGAGGGTAAAAAGTGGGCTGCAAGTCCAGCAGCCGCAGGTGCAGGAGTCGTGGGTACAGAAACTGCAAGCGCAGGAGCCAGGGGTGCACCCCAGCTCTGCGGCGGACAGGGAGGGGCGTGGTCTGAACGCCTGGGCTGCAATCTCCGCAGGGAACGCTTTCGGGCCCCGGCAGCCGCGAGTTCACTACAGGCCGAGTGGCAGTCAGTTCACTGCTTCCAGCGAACACTGTAGGAGCGGATCTGCCTTGCCAAGTGGGTACGAACTGCGGAGCTTACCACTGCCCAGTGCACCCCACAGCCTGCACAGGATCTTCCATGCAGCAGGGGCAGCAACGCTCCCCACTGAAACATCAGCCTGAGACCCGCTCCCCTCCCGCAACACCCGCAGGGGCTGCTGTTTTCTCTGCACGTGGACACCCGTGTGCAAACCCGCCGGTCCCAGCCCCTACCTGACTGCCTCGCCACCCGCGCCGGTAACTTAACGCAAACGACGTAATCTCCTGGAAGCTACGTGGCCCCGCCCCCGTCCGGAGAAACCAGCCTATGCCCCTCTGGGTAACATCAAGCAAGCAAACATCCCACTGCTGCTACCGCGGCTGCTGCTGTTTTGCAAGCGCCACCTCCTGGCCGGAGGCCAACCGACACCGTCCGTGACAATATCGCCCGGCAGATTAATACTGCACCCAGGACAGAGAAAACCGCTGTGGATCTCAGCTGTCACCACCGCCTGCACCACTGTGGCTAACCAGCAGGTCCTGAGTCTGTCCGCAAGACCAGTTTGTTACTACTGTAACCCGCATTCAACAAAGCCAACACACTTAGGCTATCAATAACCAAGGAATTTCACAGACTCTATGTCACAACCCTGCTACCCCCTGCTGGGAAACTCGAGCACAGGTCACATAACTGTGGATAGCATCCCGCTGTATGAAGGCCTGATAAAGGAGGTGGTTGAGGTGTGGACTCTGAACTGGTTGGTCTGAAGAGCAGACTGTGGGTAAATTGTTCACTTACTGTCTCTAGGAATTGGCTAACTCCGGGAGTGGCCAGCCCTCCAGCTTCAACAAGGCTCCAGAAGTCAAATTATCAGAATACAGAAAATACAAGATGCTCTCTTTGCCTTTCAGAGCTGTTGTAGCAAAATTTCTCAGATGGAGTGGCTTAGAAACAACAGACATTTATTTCACCTTTCTAGAGCTGGGAAGTTCAAGACCAAGGTGCTGGCGGATTTGGCGTCTGATGAAGGCCTCTTGCTGGTTCGTGGATGGTGGCTTCTTGCTGCATCCTTACACGTGGAAGGGATTTGGGATCTCTCTGGGGCCTCTTTTATAATAAGGGCACCAGGCCGGGTGTGGTGGCTCACACCTGTAATCTTAGCACTTTGGGAGGCCGAGGTGGGTGGATTGCTTGAGCTCAGGAGTTTGAGACCAGACTGGCAACGCTGTGAAACCTTGTCTCTATTAAAATACAAAAAATTAGCAAGGCACTGTGGCGTGCACTTGTGGTCCCAGCTACTCAGGAGGCTGAGGCAGGAGAATTGCTTGAACCCGGGAGGCAGAGGTTGCAGTGAGCCGAGATTGTGCCACTGCCCTCTGCTTGAGCAACAGAGCAAGACTCTGTCTCCAAAGGAAAAAAAAAAAAGAAGGGTTCCATTTATAGAAGCACAGAGTAGAATGGTGGTTGCCAGGGGCTGGATTAAATGGGGTGATATTTGTCAAATAGTACAAACTTTCAGCTGGAAGATGAATATGTTCTGAGGATAAAATGCATGGCATGGTGACTACATAGTTAATCATACTGTATTGTTTTCTTGAAATTTGTTAAGAAAGTAATTTTTAAGTGTCCTCTTCCCTACAAATAGTAACTATGGGTGGTAAGGAATGTGTTAATTAATTTGATTGTGGTAATCATTATATGATGCGTATGTATATCTAGCCACGTTTCTGCACCTTGAATATACAATTTTTATTTGTCAATCATACCTCAATAAAACTGGAAAAATGTCAAAAATTACCTCTAAGTAAAAATGAGTTTCCTTAAAGACAGAGTTTGTTCTTACCCTTTGAAGCTTCTCAGCATCTCTGTTACAAATTCTAGACATCCCAGATGAATTCTAGACGTTGGTCTTAGACAATGCAGTTTCACTACTGAATGAGTGATTTCAGGGAGCGATATTCAGAAAGAATTTTGAAGAGAGTTTGCTCTACATGGTGACAAATTCCTCCCCCATTTTGTTTCCATACAGATAGATTTGGTAAATACTTAAGTTATTTTTAAAAAAAGCTTTGGATCTTGGAATTGGGTTTCTTTTGAAAGTGTCAATGTACAGAGACCAACCAAAATTAGTGAATATCTATCTGTTCAGATTCCTTCAGCAAAGCTGAAGGGTGTGCATGCAACATACACACTTTCTCTCAAAAGAACAAAAAAGTTTGCAGCTACCCCGGTTGTTACAGAGTTCATTTCCTGACAGGGTATATGGCTTGTCAACAGTAAGATGAAGGCAGTGCAGGATTGGCAAATTTCCCTGGGAGGGAGTATTGAGGTGGGATAAGCAGGTTTAATAGTGGCTAGTCCGAATAATTTCGGCAGGATCTGAGGCACAGAGGTTGCCTAGACCTGATGTGATAACCTTGTTTTGATGTCTTGTGGCAGTGGAAAATTCTGTCCATGCAGGACTTAACCAGATTCCAGAAAGAACTTTCTAGCACAGAGAACGCAGACTCTTTCTCTGGCTTTGGGGATCAGCTTTCTAATTAGCTTGTAGAGTATCATGCACCTGATTTTTCAGATTGTCAGCAGGCTGGATTGTTTTCAGGTTTCTCTTTATCTGTATGTGTAGAGAACTTGAACCCAACTAGGAAGAATGAGATGAAAAGCAAGCCTAAGACTGTCCAGGATGTTATGAGGCCAAAGTTCCAGAAGATTCAGTGCCCTTCAGGTAGGGTCTGACAGTTTCCTTGGCCATGTCTGGATGCATTATTTACTCTGCACACTTAGTAACCACGGTTATAATTCCAGGCCATCTGTGATCCCATTCAATTTTAACTAACCTTCTCTACGGTCTACACAGGGAGTCTGGGCCCCTGAGAGGGCACATTCTACTGGATTTTTAGTATCTTCCTCTCCAAAGACACGAATACTGAATTTGCTCAAAGGTTGGACATTTGCTGGGAGCACAGAACTCCTTACAAACCCTCAGGCTTTTTCACCCGCTGCTCTCTTTTCATCCCTTCCCAGCAGCCACGTGTGGCTGGGCAGGCAGTATTGCCGGCTCAGCCCTGAAACTAAGACTCTGTATTCTTATCCCTGTACCACATCAGCAACTGGCTATTTGCAGCAAGAACCCCACACTCTCAGCCCCACATTGCTAGAGAGTCTGAGCCATATCTAGCACTGAAGGCCATGAAAGTTGCCCCACAACCGAAATCTACCCTCCTTTGCCATCCACTCTTTATCCTGAGCAGCAGATACAGAACTCACACATTCGTGCATCCATAAGGGCGAATGTTGTTGAAAAATCAGGTAAGAATTCACCAGCCACGCAGTAGACAGTAGGGCCGGCAGCACCACGACAGAAGTTGCTAAGCTTTCCTGTTACACCTTCATAAAGGTGATTGGTAGAGAAAACCATGTGTTCGAATGGATTTAGACAGTTTATTAGTTACACATACAGCAAAGCAAGATCAGCATGACACCCATCCAGAGGGGTCAGATGATGGGCAGCAGAGGAGGCATCACTCTGCTGCTAAGGAACCAACACTAAACCAAGGCCAGCAGTCTTGCAGCCTGTAGCTTAACCCTAGGGGCTCAGGTGGGAAATTCCACTGCTCAGCCGAAACTAGGGAGGTGGATGAGAAGTTACCTTGTGCCAGCCCATCACAAGATGTCCTCTCTTCTTCTGTTTCAAAGGAACTTCAGGGCCAGATTCAGTCCAGACATGGGCCAGCCTGTAGTTAAGACCTGCCTCTGTGAATTACATGAGAGATGTACAGGGTTGTCAGGGGCCATGGCAAATATGCTTCTGTACAGATGGGAGGTTCACAGAAATGGGAAATGGGAAGCTGAAGAGAAGGTAGGACAGGACTTAGGTGTCAAAAGATGTTTCTCTTGAAGCCTCTCTAAATAATAAGAATATCCTCTCTGTGATTCGAGGAAGAAACAGGTGCTGATGAGCACACTGGACATCCCTTTGAAGTGAGAAAATATCTTCTACATTGTTTTTGTGAAAAACCTAGATCTTTTAAAGAAGCCTATAGCTCAGCTCTTTAAATTTAAGACTATAAGAGTCTGCTGGCTTATAAAAATGCTAAAACCCAGTAGTTGTGTACAGAGTCCAGCTTGTCTGTAGAGACCCCCACCCAGGTGGTGCTGGGAATTAAGAAGCAGATACCCAGAGAGAACAGCAAAGTGGGTCTATCCGGAGGGTCAACAGCCTACTGAGCTGAGAGCCTCAGGGGCTGACAGCATCCCGGGTTGAAGGCCTCGAGCAGACTCTGACCCACGCATTTATTCTCTTTGAACAGGTGATTATTATCAACAAACAGATGTTCGGTATTTTCTCATAACATAAAAATATACCAGGTAGGCAGCTGGTGCCCACTTACCAGTGATCACAGACAAACTAAAAAGTATTCTCCATGAGGGAGCCACGGGGCAGGGTGGGTCAGATGGCCCGAGATTAAAGCATCGTTTTAACAGGTGAATGATATTTTTCCTTGCCATCGTTCTTCTTAGCAAACAATATACTCTATCCTACGTTCAGAATTTCAAAGCAATCATACATTTAGCATTTCTCAACAGTTGTGGACACATCATCATGTCACAGTTTGATCTACATTCCCTGGTTTTGTGAAAGATGGCAGAATCAAGGGCCTTCAAGATTGTGGCAATTCACTGGTTTCTCATGTCAGGGTGGAGGATTTCCTGCGACACAGCACTCCAGCTGAAACTTACAGTAGGCAACGATCATTTCACTCTGATAGCACTCAAGTCTGCAGATGCCATTCTTATAGCATTTCGTGTGCATTTCTGATGATAATGGATTTAGACCTGGAAGGAAAATGAATAGAAAGATAACTCACTACAGGCCTTTTTGGACTATAAAATTACTGGTCCCTCAGTTTTTATCCAACTGGGTTCCAAGGAGATTTGGTCATAATAATGGATTCTGTAACTGAAAAAATTAATTAGTGGTATGGCTGAATTGTGTCACCCCAAAATTCATATGCTGAAACCCTAACCCCTGATGTGACTGTCTTTGGAGATAGGGCATTCAGAGAGTAATATAAGGTAAATGAGGTCATAATGGTGGAACCCTAATCCGATAAGATTGATAGCTAATCCAATAGGATTTATGGTCTTATTAGTGAATGTCACAGCAGAAAGATGGCCATTCACAAGCTTGGAAGCAAGCTGTTATCAGAAATGGAATCAGCTAGCACCTTGATCATGGATTTCCCATCTTCCAGAACTATGAGAAAATAAATTTTGTCTAAGCCACACAGTCTGTGGAATTTTGTTACGGCAGCTCAAGCTGACTAAAACAACTAATAACTTGGAAGCTGCCCTGAATTGGTCAGTGAATATGATCCAAACAATCAAGCTAGCTATTCACATAGTCATTCACTCATTATTTATTATTTAAATAACTACTCATTATTATTCATAAACCAATCTTTATAAATCATGTGCATCAAGGACTGTTGGGGTACAGATCTGAGTATGACATAGACCTTAATCTCAGTGAATTTTCAGTCTAGACAAAAAGAGAAGAAATACAGAATATGTCTGGGAGAGGAAAAATCATGACAAGTGCAATGACGTATTTGCAACATGGAATGGTCTTGTCATTTGGAGCAGGGTGAAATCAATTCTGAAGATTTGAGAAGTCTCAATGGATGAAGCTCAAGGAATCTGTAGAAATTTTGAGCAAACACATACCCTGACTGAGGCATAATGCCCTGGAGGATAATCATCCTACAGGGACAAGAAGGGATCATTGTTACAGAAGCCCAAGAGGACAGTCTGTAACACTTTTGAGAAGATGAAACATAATGGTCTATAAAATAGACAAGAAATTTCTATAGAAATGACAAGTTAGGAGAATGCAAAAGGAATTGAAGGGAATGTTGTACACTAGATGGGTTTCTTTGTCTGGAGCCCACAAATCCATTGCCATAAACCATAGTGGATTTGGTCCCAGCAACAACCAATGGAGTCACAAATAGTAAATTAACTATAAGAAATTTATAGTATATTAGAAAATTAACAAATTGTGTTATCATTATTTGCTGGTTTTGACTAGATACATTCTTGAATTAGAGACAAAATAACAATAGCAAAACAGGATGGGCGTTACTGATGAAAATACAGTGACAGGTCTCACGAGCCAGGTACTTTGCATATTACATACAGACATTCCATACGTGATCTGATTTAATCCTTGTAAGGCTCTTCATTTCCATTTTTCAAATGAAGAAACTAAGGCTCATGGATGCTCATCAGTTCAGCCAAAAAAGAAAAAAAAAAAACAAACAAAAAAGGAAACTAAGGCTCAGAGAAGGCCAGACCTTTGTCCAAAGTTACGCAGTTAAGAAGTTGGAGAGCCAGATTCAAGCCCAGGTCTTGCTGACATCAAAACTGGCTGATGCCTTTTTCTACTTTGAAAATTAAAGGGTCCATGGTGGGAGTCTGTTTATAGGGTTGTTTAGTGGAATTGTTCTTCTATATGAAGCTCCCCTGCCCCCCTCAAAATCTGCCAGTTTTACCTGTCAGCACTGGATCCCAAAGGAAAAGAAAGAGAAACACAATGAGGAGAGGCTTCATGGCTGGGAGCTTCTGTTGAGGAGGCTAATGGCAGGGTCTGATATTGGCTGTCAGAGAATAGAGAGGAAGAAGTTGAACACACACTCCTGTACAAACCTCCCAGGTCTGGGTTATGGCCCGCTTCAGGTAGATACGCTACACTGAATACCCCCGAGGCAGCGGTGTTCGCAATGCTCATCTGAGGACAAAAATGGACAGCCCTTTCCTGTTTAACAGCTTTTCCTATTGACAAAGACACTGTTCTTCCATCTGGGTTTTCCAAAAGTACTCATGGAGGCCTGAAAACTACGTGCTCTTACTTTTTTTAAATGAATAAAATTAAAATTTCATAAGCTTTTGTTACAACAAAAATTTAAAGCTAATTTTAGAAAATTGGTAAAATATTGAACATGACAAAGATGGACAAGTTACACTTTAACTTCATCTCTCAGAGACAAACCGTGTGTTTCTTAAGAAAGTTTCATCTGTGCTTAGTTTGTTGTTTAATATTTTGTTTTACATAGTTATAAACAATATTCTTATAATTAGATATCCTGGTTTTGTAACTTGATACATACTATATATCAGTGGCAATATAAACTTTATAAATATTATTTTTAAATGTTGCACACTATTTCATCAGGGTCATTTAAAATAATTGTCACTGTTTTAAAAACATTTTTATTGAAGTGTAAATGACATACAATAAACTTCAAATACTAAAGTGTGCCATTGGATAAGTTTTGCCATATCTACACTTTTGTGAAACCATCATCAGATTCGAACTCATAAACATGTCCATTCCCCATTTTTTCATCTCTTTTGTAATACTCCCCTCCTGATTCTCTTTCACCTCCCCGTCTCCAGGCAACAACTTTTTTGCTGACACTGTAGATTACTTTGTATTTTCTTGGAATTTCACGTGAATAGAATCATATGTTCTAATATATTCTATACTCTTTCTTGTTGGGTTTCTTTTACTTGGCATAATTATTTGAGACTAATCCTTGCTATAATATGAATTAATTGTTCATTCCTCTTCACTGCTAAGTGCCATTGCATGGATATACATCTATGTGTTTATTCAGTCGCCTATTGATGGACGTTTGATTATTTCCAGTTTTTGGCTATTGTAAATAAAGCTGCTATGGACATTCATGTACAAGTCGTGGTGTGGATATAAGTTTTCATTTCTCTTTTGCAAATATTGAGGAGCAGAAAAGCTGGGTCATAGCTGAATGCTGTCATCAAGAGATGCATCTTACATGCAATGATATTCATAGACTCAAAGTAAAGGGATGGAGAAAGATCTAGCAAGCAAATGGAAAACAAAGAGAACAGTGGTTGCTATTCTTATTTCAGAGAAAACAGACTTTAAAGCAAAAATGATCTAAAAGGACAAAGAAAGGCATTACATAATGATAAAGGGTTCAATTCAAAAAGAAGACTTAATAAACACGGTGGGATCCTGGCTCAGTGTCTGGTTCACTTAGGCTTTGGAGATAAAGAGGGGAGATCTGTGCATCATTTGAAAACAGGTTTGTGGTTTACCAGCATACCAGCTTTTTCCTTCTGTCCACACAGATTCCCCAAGGGTCACAGGGTGCTCTGGGATTAGAAAATGGAGAAGTACAGTATGCTCCATGCTGGGACTAGACAGCTCTTTCTTCTACGTCCTGGGTTTGCTATTTCTTTAGGGTCATCATGCTACTCTCATCTTCCTGATCTGTGGATGTTCTGCAACTGCCATATTCTCAGCTGCAATTGAAATGTCCCTGTCTGACCCTCAGCCTTACAGATTCAATATGCAGCCTTTCCAAATGGTCATCCTAATAAACAGAAATGTATTCTAGCAACAGTGGGAGATATAAAAGGAAGCAGCTGCTGTATCCTCTGTGAAGAGACGGTCCTCTTTCCCATTACACATTTTCAGAGCACCCATTACTTTTTCCCATAACACTTGTCACAACTGTAACTATATAGATTGTTTGTGTCTCTATGATTAGACTCTAAGATCTGACGACAGATTCCATGACTGTCTTTATTTATCACTGTACACCAGTAGTGGGCTCAGAATCTAGCAGGTTGTCAGTGCCAAAGGTATATTTGTTGAATAAATAAATGAACTCTGGATGTTAAGTTTATACTTCAACTTTACAATATATAGTTCTCCCTTATTCATGGGGTTATGTTCCAAGGCCCCCAGTAGATGCTTGAAACAGTGGATAGTACTGAACTCTATATATACTGTGCTTTTTTTCTACCCATGGAGACCTATGATATAGTTTAACATATAAATTTGGCACAGTAAGATTTTAATAGCAATACCTAATAATAAAATAGAATTATAACAATATGCTATAATAACAATACTGTAAAAGTTATGTGAATATGAACTCTTGCCTCCCCCAAAACATCTCATTGTGCTGTACCCACTCTTCTTGTGCTGAAGTAAGATGATAAAATGCCTATGTGATGAGATGAGGTGAGGAGAGTGACACAGGCATTGGGCCACAGCATTAGGATACTACTAATCTTCTGACCATACGTCGGAAGGAGGATTGTCTGTTTTGGGTGATCCTGGGCCACTGAGCCATGATGATGTCAATGGCTGGATCTCAGAAGCAGGTGATTTCCATGATGAATGCTCAGGTGGTGTTTACAGTGTGAATACATTGGATGAAGGGATGATTCACATTCTGGGTGTGTGGAGCTGTGTGGTGCAGATTTCGTGTACATACTCAGAACAGTATGCAATTTAGAACTTAGGAATTGAATTGTTTATTTCTAGAATTTTTTATTTAATATTTTGGACTGTGGTTGACTGTAACTAATTGGAACTGTGGATGGGTGGAAAACTACTGCAAATATATTCCTAACCACTGCTGTTTGCAGTGCTTTTTGGCATCAAGGACTGTACTAAGTATTTTTTTAATATTGCCTCACTTAATCTCACAAATGCTCTCTTAACTGAACATTTTCACCATTCACATTTTCAAGATGTTGAAACAGAGATTTGAGTAATTCTGATATCATACATCTGGGACTAAGAAGTCTTACAGAGATTCTAGAACCCAAATTTATTAACCCTCTTCTATATTGTCTTCTGGGATAGAGGTTCTGAAATAAAGCAAAAATTCTAGTTTGAATCTAATCTGGGCCAGCCAGGTGGAATTTGTAGATGGCAGGAACTGGGGGGCTAGAGCTTATGCTAAGGAAGTGACACTGAAAAAGCCTTTTTTCTAACAGACATCTTGGGGTGCAAAGCGCCAAGGCATCAGCAATGCGTGGTGCCAGCTTCTACAGCAGCAGTGAGAGGTAATACCAGTGCTCCCACTGCCAACAGGGCATTACCACTTGCAGGGAGAAAAAAAAGACAAGAAAAATGGTGGGTGCCACATATTGGGACTCATCTGAGACATGATGCAAGACTTTTTAGAAAGAATTTGAGGTGGGGTGGGACTGGGCTTTCCGCAGTAGTGCAAGAGAAATGCTATTTTGTGGCCCTTATTGTGACTTACTTATAACTTAAGGAGGACAAAGCCTGAACACAGTTTACAGGACATTGGAAGTCACCTGCTGCGTATGCCCATGAGTGAGTACCAACCTGAATGCAAAGTCTCACTTTGAGGGAATCGCCAGCCACTGATCTTGCAGGTTATCTTTATGCTGAAGGCTCCCTTAGTCAGGAAAAAGAAAACTGAAGGATCCTGGCATGTAGAAGGACCTAGTGTACAGAAAACCAAAAGTGTGTTCAATTATAAAGGACACAATTTGTGCTTCGTCTATACAATTATTAAATTCTTTGGCAGATTGCTTATTTATATACATTTCTTATAACAGAAATGGAGCTCTTACAAGGTAAGGCTCCCGTGTGATTTACCTTTGTAAATTTTTGTGCAGGGCTCTGTTTGCCCCTCTACCTCCACCCTCCTGCCGTCCTCATCCTACTCTCTAAAAGGACCATTTAGCTTTTCAGTTGCCTTTTAAATCAGCAAATACTTCTCACCAAAATCATCTTGATATGAGAGCTTCCTTATGAATTATTCTTGTCTCCTTGCATTAGCTATCTATTGCTGGGTAACACATTAGCCCCCAAATTTAGCAACTTAAAGTAATAAACATGTATTAATTCAGTTTCTTTGCGTGAAGAATCTTGGCATGGCTTAAGTGAGTGCCTCCAGGCTCAAAGTCGCCCACAGGACTGCCATCGAGGTGTGGGCTGGGTCTTCAGTTTTGCCTGCAAACTTAACCAGGGGAGGAGTTGCTTTCCCACATTAGTTCCTCTTTTCTTACACAGGTTTTCCCAGCATGGGAGGAGGGCAGGAATAGAGTTATTATATGATTCAGACCAGAATAAAAGTGGTAAGCAAGGAGTATTCCCACCTGGTGACCTAGTGTCTGCTTGAGTACCAGCGACAACCAATGTACCAAAGAATGGGCCTCGCCCAAAGAGGATACAGTTTTGTTGAAAATAAGAATGAGACACAATTCAGCAGTTGTATCTAGGTTAGTGACAGAAGATCAGATGAGAATGAAGGTGTTTTGGTAATGGTAACGTAATTAAGGCTCTCCCAGATACCTCATCACTGCTTACCTCTTTTGGAACTTAAAAATAACTTGGGGAAGATATGATCAACTATGAATTGACTAAGTTTAAGTGTCTGTGACCAGGCAAAATAAGGTTCTAGTAGGGATTCAGTTAATTTATAGAAAAGGAAAATTATCCTTTTTTTTTTTTTTTGAGATGGAGTCTTGCTGTCTTGCCAGGCTGGAGTGCAGTGGCGTGATCTAGGCTCACTGCAACCTCCACCTTCTGGGTTCAAGTGATTCTCTTGCCTCAGCCTCCCGAGTAGCTAGGACTACAGGTGTCCGCCACCATGTCCAACTAATTTTTTATTTTTAGTAGAGATGGGGTTTCACCATGTAGACCAGGATGGTCTTGATCTCTTGAACTCATGATCTGCCCACCTGGGCCTCCCAAAGTGCTGGAATTACAGGCATGAGCCACCGTGCCCAACCAAAAATTATACTTTTGTAAATATACCTAGTAAACGGACATATCCCTTACATGACTAAAACCCTCTTATGCCAAAACATTTCTTTATTGACTCTCCCCACATTCCCAACCTGCTTTCTCTTCTGGCCTCTCTAGCTTCGTGAGTTATATTGGCATCCATCTTTTTATTAGCTTTGAAATCTCAATTATTGTTCATGCCTTTTCAGTATATCATATGGCCAATAAATCCTGCCAATATTAATTCTGAAATTCACCTTGCATCTCTTCTTTCTTTTTAGTTCTCACTACTAGTGTTCAAGTCCTAGATTACTAGAATAGAATAACATTGCATTCATAGATTGTGTTTACATAAAATTATATGTCTCATAACCTGAAAAATATATCTTATTTTCAAAACCACATAAAATTTGAACAAATATGAACTCTATCTTAGGCCACAAAGAATAATTCAATAAAACCCCAAAAGAAATAGGATGGATCAAATTCTTGAGTTCTATGAAATTATAGCTAACATTTACGTAATGTCTATAATAGGATCAAGTGCTGCTTAAGAACTTCAGGTATACTAACCCATACAATCCTAACGATACCACAATGTGGGTACTTATTGCTATCCCATTTTATAAATAAGGAAACTGAGATAGACAGAAAATAAATAACTTGCCCAAACTCGAACAGTTAATCAGTGGTGGGGCTGGGAAACAGGACTATGGATGAAAAAACAATGTGGTTGTGGATGTAAACTAAGAAAGTGAATGTTCAAATGCACAAATGAAAATAGAGTGTAAGCATTTATAAAATGTATATTTATTTTCACCTGACCATCTAAACATGCAATTTATAATACATTATTTTTTATCCGTCATGTTCATTATTCATAGATAAGAGAGTTTCAGACATTTTTAGTTGTTTTTCCTCCTGGAGTCTGAAGAAGTTGCAGTTGGAATTTTCACCACTTCGTTTGTCCCACAAATTTTGTTTTCTTCACTCTGCAGCAGATGTTGTTGTCAGGACAGTATCTCATTGCATATTCATCAGCGTGGCACTTCAGTTTGCAATGATAATATTTTCCATGACATCGAATATTAAAAGAGGAGCTTCTGGCTTTAAAAAGAGACGACAAAGGATATGACACAATATCACTTGTTATAGATGTTTTTCTTGTTTTTCTTTTTCCATTCCTAATTCGATACTTGTTATTTTTAAATGTCTGAAATGTTTTATAATAAATTAAATACATTAAAGAACTTTCCCAGAAAAACAAAAACAACAACAAAAGAAGGCAAGAGAAAAAGTAGACATGCTGAATAAAGACAAATGATGATTTCTCCTATTAAGAGAGTAGATAAATGAGGCAGTAGCTGGAAGTGGGCAGAATTTTAAATGATAACTATTATCACATGTTTCTGCCTAGAAGGAATTATCCAGCTTGGGGGTGGGTAGAGATTCATAATGCAGGAAATAATGTTTAATTTCTGGAGTTAAATTCTTAAAAACATCATTGGGGTTGGAATCTAGTGTAAGTGGAGGGGCTGGCCTGGAATCAGAGTGGAGAGAAGGTAGATTATGGATAAAGATAAAACTAAGTGCAGAGATATGGCGGTGGAAAAATGAAAAAGGTATCTTTGGTTCCTTCTCTGTTCTTGGTGAAATGAAAAAAAAGAAAAATCCTTAATTGAGAGTGAGAAGGGGTCAGACGGAGTTGAGTCATAGTTCCGGCTTCCCAGTGCATTCAGGCTCAAGGCCAGGTGTCCTTCACGGAGGAAGTTCCTGAGATACGCACAGGAGCCTAGAACCCACAATCCCCTACTTTGGTACCATTTCTTCCTTTCTCTTTTTGTTCCATGGGCAAGTTCCTTCCAGAGTTTCACTCTTTGCTGCAAGAGAAACCACCAAACTAACTTTTATAGTAATAATTTTCTTACTTTAAAAATAGTTTTATGACCTAAGTTTTTATCCTTAGACACTATGGGTAAGATTTTCTGCATTAACATTTTTGATATTCCCTTTAAACCTACCAGTCCTTCCCAAATCCTTTTTACAATTTATAAGTTAAAGCAATCGCCATGACCAACATCATGAAAGTTTCCCCTTATGTTTTCTTCCGTAAGTTTTACAGTCTCGGGTGATATTTTTAAATCTGTAGTTCATTTCGAGTTGCTTTTCATGTGTGGTGTAAGATGCAGGCCCAGTTTTATTCTTTGGCATCTGAATATTCAGTTTTCCCAGTACCGTGTATTGAAGAAACCATCTTTTCTCCATTATATATTCTTCACATGTTTGTTGAAAGCCAGTTGACTGCAAATGCGTGGGTTTATTTCTGGGCTCTCTATTCTATTCATTCCACTGGGCTATATTTCTCTCTTTATGCCTGTAGCATACGGTTTTGATTACTCTGTCTTAATAATACATTTTGAAATTAGAAAACGTGATGCCCCTAGCTTTGTTTTCCTTGTTCATTGTTTTGGCTATTTGGGGTCCTTTGGGGTTTCAAATGACTTTTAAGATTGTTGGGGTCCTTTATGGTTTCATATGAATTTTAAGATTGTTTTTCTATTTATGTCAAGAGTGCCATTAGGATTTTGATAAGGATTGTACATAATGTATAAATTTCTTTGAATAGTATGGACATTTTAATAATATGAAGCCTTCCAATTCATGAACATAGGATGCCTTTCTACTGATTTGTGTCATCTTTAATTTCTTTTGTGAACTTTTGCAGTTTTTAGTGTACCAGTCTTTCATCTTCTTAGTTAAGTTGATTCTTAAGTAGCTCATTTTTTGTTGCTATTATGAATGGGATTTTCCTTACTTGCTTTGCAGTTGCTTGTTGTTAGAGCTGTAGAAATGCAACTGATACTTGTATGTTGATTTTATATCCTGCAACTTAATAATTTTGGGGGGGTGAAGTTTAGGATTTTCTACAAAAAAGATTATGTAATTTGGAAATAGATAATTTTACTCATTTCCCCCCCTTTCCCAGTTTGGATGCCATTTATTCCATTTTCTTGCCCAACTGTCCTTGCTAGAACTTCTAGTACCATGTTAAATAAAAGTGGGAAGAAGGGGTGCTTTTGCCTTGTTCCTGATCTTAGAAGAAACACTTTCAGTTTTTCACCATTGAGTATGAGTGAAGAAATTCTTTTTACTTTTATTGTAAGGTAGGACTATCAGTGACAAACTCTGTTTTTGTTTACCTAAGAAAATAATACAGTTTTATTTTAATTTAAAGGGTAGGCTGGGTGTGGTGGCTTGAACCTGTAATCCTGGCACTTAGGGAGGCCCAGGTGGGTGGATCACCTGAGGTCAGGAGTTTGAGACCAGCCTGGCCAACATGGTGAAAGCCTGTCTCTACTAAAAATATAAAAATTAGCCAGGTGTGGTGGTCGCTGGCTGAGGCACGAGATTGCTTGAACCCAGGAGGAGGAGGCTGCAGTGACCTGAAGTCACTGCCACTGCACTCCCACCTGGGTGACAAAGTGAGACTCTGTCTCAGATTAACGTAAGGTAGGACTATAAGTGACAAACTCTGTTAATGTGTTAGAGAGATTTAAGATAGTGTTTTGTTGGTGTTGGTGTTTTTTATTATTTTAAATTTTTCACTTCCCTCTCTTTTTGCTTCTGTGGTTTAAGAGAAGACGGATGTAATTCTTATCCGTGGTTGTTCATAGATAAAGATTTTTTCTTCTTCCGGCTTCTTTTAAGATTTTATTTTTGTCTTTGATTTTCTAAAGTTTCAATATAATATGCCTATGCTTAAATTTTTTGTATTTATCTTGTTTGGGTATTCTCTCAGCTTCTTGGATATGTGGATTTTGTTTATCTTCAATTCTGGGGAAATCTCAGTCATAATTTCTTTAAACATTTCTTCTGTTCCTTTTTTTCTCCTCCCCCTAATACTTCATTACACATATATTGTTTCTATTGTAATTGGCCTAAATTTATTAAGTATTCTGCTCATTTTCATTCTTTTTTCTTTGCTTTTAAGTTTTGGAAGTTGCTATTTAAACTTCTTTAAGCTCATTGATTCTTTCCTTGATCATATCAGCCTATTGATGAATTCATGGTTATGGGCTAACCAGTGTTCCCCCAAAATTTATATGTTGAAGTCCCAATCCTTAGTATCTCAGAATGTAACCATATTTGAAGATAAGATTTTTTAAAGGAATGATAAAGTTAAAATGAAACTCCTAGGGTAGGGCCCTCCTACAATATGATTGATACCCTTATTAGAAGAGGAAGAGACACCAGGAACGCATGTGCACAGAGAAGATGCCATCAGAGGGCATGGCAAGAAGGCAACCAGCTGCAAGTCAAGACAGGCCTCAGGAGAAACCAAATGTGCTGACATCTTGATCATAGACTTACAACTTCCAGAACTGTGAGAAAATAAATTTTTGTTATTTAAGGTACCCATTCTGTGGTACTTTGTTATGATAACCCTATAGCAATGCAAGAATGACCCAATACATCTATATTGGACAAAATTGACTTTTAGTGAAAAAATATAAAAAGAGACAAAGAACACCATCATATAATGATAAAGGGCCAATTCAGCAAGAGGGTATAACAATTTGAAATATGTATATATATGCACATATATATATATATATATATATACACCCAATAGTGGAATCCTTAGATATATTAAAAATGTCATTAGCGCTAAAGAGAGAGGTAGGCCTCAACACAGTAATAACTGAGGGTTTCAACACCCCACTTCCTGTATTGAACAGATCATCTACGTAGAAAGTTAACAAATAAACATCAGACTTAATCAATCTGTACCATAGACCAAATTGACCTAACAAACATTTACAGAACATTTCATCAATAGCTGTGGAATACACATTCTTCTCAGCATCACATAGAATATTCTCCAGGATAGACCACATGTTTGGGCACAAAACAAGTTTCAACAAATTTTGAAAAATCAACATTATATCAAGTATATTCTAGACAAAAATGGAATAGAATTATAAATAGATAAAAAGGAGAACTTTGGAAACTGTACAAATACATGGAAATTAAACAACATGCTTCTGAACAACCATGAGTCAATTGAAAAACTAAGAAGAAAATAACAAAATTTCTTGAAACAAATGCAAATGAAAACACAACATGCCAAAACCTTTGGAATACAACAGAAACAGTGCTAAGAGAAACTTTTAGATTATAAACAACCTACTATGTACCTCTAAGAACTAGAAAAACAAGAAAAAGTGAAATCCAAATTTAGTAAAAGGAAAGAAATAATAAAAATCAGAGCAGAACGAAGTGAATTAGAGATTTAAAAATGCAAGCAATCTATGAAACAAAAAGTTGGTTTTTAAAAGAGATAAACTTTATAAAAACCGCTTGCTAGACTAACCAAGAACAAAAGAGAGAATGCCAATTAAATAACATCAGAAATAAAAAAGGAAACACTACAACTGATATGAAAGAAACAAGATGGATCATTAGAGACTGCTATGAACAACTATATGCTGACACACTGGAAAAACTAGAAGAAATTGATAAATTCCTGTACACATATAACCTACCTAGATTAAACCAGGAAAAAAAATAGAAAACCTGAACACCCCAATAATGAGTAACAAGACTGAATCAGCAATAAAAAGCATCTTAGCCAAGAAAAGCCCAGGAACAGGTGGTTTTACTGCTTAATTTTACTAAACTTTTAAAGAATTAACACCATTTTTTTCAACTATTTCAAAAAATTGAAGAGACAGGAATTCTTCCTAACTTATTCAATGAGAACAAAGACGCCCAAACCAGACAAGGGAACACAAAAATCAGAAGTAACGACCAATATTCCTGATTAACATAGATGCAAAAATTCTCAACAAAATACTAGCAAGTGATAGCCAGTAGCATATTGAAAATATAATACACCAAGATCAATTGTGATTTATCTCAGGGGTACAAGAGTAGCTCAACATATGCAGATTAATAAATATGATTCAACACATCATCAGCATAAAGGACAAAAACCATATGATCATCTCAAAAGCTGCAGAAAAAAGATTTGATAAAATTCAACATTGCTGGGCCGGGCGCGGTGGCTCAAGCCTGTAATCCCAGCACTTTGGGAGGCTGAGGCGGGTGGATCATGAGGTCAAGAGATCGAGACCATCCTGGTCAACACGGTGAAACCCCGTCTCTACTAAAAATACAAAAAATCAGCTGGGCATGGTGGCGCGTGCCTATAATCCCAGCTACTCAGGAGGCTGAGGCAGGAGAATTGCCTGAACCCAGGAGACGGAGGTTGCGGTGAGCCGAGATTGCGCCATTGCACTCCAGCCTGGGTAACAAGAGCGAAACTCCGTCTCCAAAAAAAAAACAAACAAAAAAATTCAACATTGCTTCATGTTAAAAACTCTCAATAAAGTAGGCATAAAAAGAACATACCTAGGCTGGGCACAGTGGCTCACATCTGTAATCCTAGCACTTGGGAGGCCTAGGTGGGTGGATCACAAGGTCAGGAGTTTGAGACCAGCCTGGCCAACATGGTAAACCCCTGTTTCTATTAAAAATACAAAAATTAGGGTGGGTGCAGTGGCTCATGCCTGTAATCCCAGCACTTTGGGAGGCTGAGGGGGGTGGATCACCTGAGGTCAGGAGTTCAAGACCAGCCTGACCAATATGGTGAAACCCCATCTGTAAAGAAAAATAAATTTTTAAAATAAATATAATTAAAAAAAATACAAAAATTAGTGGGGCGCAGTGGTGCATGCCTGTAGTCCCAGCTACCCAGGAGGCAGAGGTTGCAGTGAGCCGACACTGCGCTGCTGCACTCCAGCCTGCGCAACAGAGTGAGACTCCATCTCAAGAAAAAAAAACATATCTCAACATAATAAAGGCCATATATAACAAACCTACGATAATATTATACTGAAAAGTTGAAAGCCTTACTACTAAGAACTGGAACAAGACAAAGATGCTCACTTTCACCATTCCTATTCAATGTAGTATTGGAAGTCCTAGCCACAGCAATCAGGCAAGAGAAAGAAATAATGACAGCCAAACTGGAATAGAGAAAGTCAGATTGTCCCTCTTTGTCAACTACATGAGTTTAAATATAGAAAGACTTAAAGACACTACCAAAAACTCTTAGAGCTGTAAACAAACTCAGTAAAGTTGTAGGATACAAAATCAACATGAAAAATCAGTAGCATCTGTATATACTAATAACAAACTAGCTAAAAAGAAATCAAGAAAGCAATCCCATGTACATTAGCTACAAAAAATTACCTAGAAATAAATTTAACAGAAGACTTGAAAGATCTCTACAACACTTGATGTTGGTGGTTTGCTGATTTAACCAATTTCAGAGCTATCTGACCTTGGGACCTCTTGCTATGTATTATAATAAATTTTCTTTACTATTTTAGCCTACCGAGCCTGCGTTGCTTTTAACTTCATCCTGAAAACTTATTCAATGGAACAACATTAAAAAAAAATCCCCAGAGTGAAAGAAGATATTTGCAAAACTGTGTCTAATAATAGTTTAGTATCTACAGTATGTGAATAATTCAAAACTCAACAATAAAAAGACAAATAATCCAATTTAAAAAGAGCAAAGCATTTGAATAGACAATTCTCTAGAGAAAATACACAAATGGTCAACATATACTCAGCATCATTAGTCACTGGGAAAATGCAAATAAAAAACTACAACGGAATATCCCTTCACATGAACTAAGATAACTACAATAAAAAAGAAAATAGCAAGTATTAGCAAGGATGTGGAGGACTGGAACCTTTGTGCGTGGTGGGGATGCAAAGTTAAGGAGGTAGCTGTGGAAAAGTTTGGCAATTTCTCAACAATTAAACATAGTTACGATACAACATGACAATCCTATTCTCAGGTATATACCCAACAGAATTAAACTTATATCTACACAAAAACTTGAACATTAATGTTTATAGCAGCATCATGAATCATAGCCCCAAAGTGGAACAATCCACATGATATCAACTGATAAACAGAAGAGCAAAATCTAAAAAAATCCATACAATGAAAAGCTTTTTTACCAATAGCAATAATCAGTGTAGCTTTCCAAAAATAATTTTAAAATCCACCAATACGTCATAATAAAAACATATTAAACTGTGGCTTATACCTGAGATTTAGATTATTAATTTGCATATTTATCTTTTCTGAAGCACATATGACCTCAGAGCACATTTTAATATTTATTTCAAGATTCCCTAATTTATATAATTATACATAATTCAGCTTTTCCTCCATGAATGTTGGTGGTTTTTATATTTTTACTGAGATATAGTTTATCATAAAATTCATTCCTTTGTAGTATTCCATCCAGTGAGTATCAGTAGATTCTTAAAATGGGATATACTGATGACTGCTGAATGAAGGAATGAGGTACAAGTATATGCCACAACATGGATGTGTCTTGAAAACATTAGGCTAAATGAAAGAAGATGGACATGAAGGGTCACATATTTATGATTCTGTTTATAGTAAATGTTCAGAATAGGGATCTGGGTAGAGACAAAAATCAGACTAGTGGTCGCTAGAGACTGGGAGGAGGAGAGATTTCTTTTTAGGGTTATAAAAATGTGTGGAATTAGATAGTGGTGATGGGTGCACCATTTTAAGAATACACTGGTGGCCACTGAATGGAACACTTTAAAGGAATAAATTTTATGGTAAATTATATCTCAATAAACATATTAAAAACCCACTAACATTCATGGAGGAAAATTATAATTATTCATTATTACATAAATAAGGGAATCTTCAATAGTGAAGTGTTATATAAATGAGGAAATCTTGAATTGTGAAGTATTAAAATGTGCTTTAGAAATTATAAATAAGTCAACTAGTAATCTAAATCTCAGGTATAAACCACGGTTTAATATGTTTTTTTATGGAGTACTGATGAATTTTTAAATTAATTTGGGAAAGTCATACTGATTATTTAATAAATATAGTTACATAATTGGCTAATTATGTGGTTAAAAATTAAGGTGGACTCTTAAGTCTTACCATACAAAAAGTAATTTCCACATACGTTAAATGATATCGTAAGAGTTTTATTCAATTTTATTTTTATTTATTTATTTTTCATCTTACTAGCACTTTCTAGTTGGCAAGAATTTTATTCAACTTTAAAGGAACACAGAGAGTAGGTCCCTGCCTGGGTCAGTGGTGAAAGTATCCTGTGAATCAAGGATTATGGTGGGACACCCACCTCTTCACCTCCAGCCCTTCTTCTAGTCACCATTTGCTTTTCATTCTTGCAGTTCTTTAAATTTCCTGTATTCTGTGTGCATCCTCTCACCATCTTTTGATCAAACACAACTCTCAAGTAAGTTTATTTTTTATTTATTATCATTATTTTTTTGAGACAGGGATTTACTCTACTGCCCAGGCTGGGTGCAGTGGCACAACCTAAACTCAACGCAGCCTTGACTTCCCAGGTTCAAGTGATCCTCCTGCCTGAGCTTCCTGAGTAGCCAGAATCACAAGCACGCACCACTACACCAGGCTATTTTTTTTGTATATTTTTGTAGAGATGGGGTTTCGCCCTGTTCCCCCTCCAGCGACTGGTCTGGAACTCCTGAGCTCAAGTGATCCACCCACCTCAAACTCCCAAAATGCTCGGATTACAGACATGAGCCACTGTGACCAGCCTCAAGTGAATTTATAATAGGTTAAATCCTGCAATGAACCACCTTATTGATGTCTTTAGTATCAACTCTTCAATCCTCTGAGCAGCCTTCATGGTACAATAAGATCTGCCCATGTCTAATTTATTTTCAGACTCTTGAAATACCTTCCATTTTCTTTACTTGTAATTTTAGAACTTTGGAATAAAAAGTTTCTATCTTACCTGGAGGAATTATGGACAAGGCAAGGACTCCAAAGATAAAAACAAGACCCTCATGGTTGAATAGGTAAAGCAGTTTAGAGAGAATCAGTGGCTGAGGTGAAGAGGACTTCTGTGTACATTTAGTCCTCTGAAGAGATGAGTTGCTGAATGACTGCTGAACCTTCCAGGAGCAAGAACATTTCTATGCTTCAGTGAGAATTTATATCAGGAGACAGCATGCAATCATCATGACTATCAGTCATTCAAAGTACATTTATCAAATCTCAACAGAGTGCGGGCAAAGGTAGCAGAAAAGACAGCCATGGCAAAGGAGGAGAGAGACTCTGTTGAAATATCAGCATTGTCTCATGCATTCTGGAGGAATTGTAAAAGTGAAAGAAGCAGTTATATAGGAAAAGCATTCATTTTATTTTTTCTGATAAGAAGAAGAAGCACATGATACAACAGCATGCCTATTTATTAATATTTTTGGCACTGTGTATTCGCATCCTTAACCCGTGGCATTAGATTTGAAATTGTAAACAGGCTAGTAAGATATAGAAAAGATTTCATTTGATTATCTTTCTGTCCAATCAACTGAATGAGATCAACTACTTTTTACACTGAAATCTAAGTTAATACAAATTCTTTACACATCAGTTATATGTAATATGAGAGGAATAAAAGAAACACGAGTGGGCCTTAGAGAACCTATGATACACGTGGGAAAGCAAATAATATGTACAAAGCAATGGCAATGCAACATGAGCATATTTCTGACAAAGAGGTGCAAATTACCACTTAGACACTAAGGAAATGAACATAAACCCCAGAATATGTTGGGTGGCCTAGGGAATGCTTAAAGAGGGTATGAGCAAACTTTATTTATTTATTTAGAGACAGAGTCTCACTCTGTTGCCCAGGCTGGAGTGCAGTGGTGTGATCTCGGCTCACTGCAACACCTACCTCATGGGTTCAAGCAATTCTCCTGCCTCAGCCTCCCAAGTAGCTGGGACTACAGGTGCACACCTCCATGCCTGGCTAATTTTTGTATCTTTACTAGAGATGGGGTCTTGCCATGTTGGCCAGGCCAGTCTCAAACTCCTGGCCTTAAGTGATCTGTTGCTTCGGCCTCCCAAAGTGCTGGGATTACAGGCGTGAGTCACCACGTCCGGCCAGAATATCAGCCTCAGAAACTGCAAAGTACATGCACATTCCTGGTCTTACTTGATCTTCGTGGCTTTCTAGATGGTCTCACTACGGTGAAGGAACTTTTCTCAGTACCAAAAAGGAAGTTCTCTTTCTGCCACGGCTTCTTCAGGGTGCTACTTCTATAATACTTCACAGTTTCAGTGAATGGAACATGTGGTTACTTTATTTAATCAGGCATTCCCTGCCTTTGGAGACTTTGAAAATGACATGTTAAGTTGAATCAGGAATGGGGCGGCCTTGGAAGAGGCAAACTTCACAAGTCTAAGTCTAAGGAGGGCCAATGAGGGGCATGAAAGCTCTGGGGATGTTTTTCCCTAAACCTCCATTCAGGTCCTTTCTGCTGAGCTGCAGGGGCAGTGGTACCTGGGCACAAGCCTCTGCCGGCACCCTAGAAACACAAAGGGGGATTTTAGGGTCGTCGTGCTGGTTATTGCTATTGCTGACTGTTCCATTTACTGAAACCAGAATGGCCGAGGATCACTGGCATCTCTGATCAAGAATCCAGAATTGACTGATTTTTTCTCACCAATCTGAGAAGTCTTTCCTTCTTGATCATGAGAAAAGCTTTGGAAATACAGTTCACATTACAAAGCAACAGACTTTATGAGAACAAATAATTGAAATCCTTTATGGAACACTAAGGGCAGAATTTTCTCTGCTTGATATATTCTATGAACTTTGTTTGCCAGCCTGATATAGGTTTGCACCAACCTAATAGATTTGGAGCCAGGAGACAGGTTTGGAATGCTTCCCAGGAAGCCCAAGAACATTGTGTAATCCACGGGCTGGCGATCAGGGATATCAAAGAAGGGTCACAGGAAGGCTCACTGCATTCTGGGAGTGGGCCAGTAGGCACCAGAGGGGCATTGAAAGATGGCTTAGATTGCAGACAGCTTCAGTAAAAAAAGATAGAGTGCTTTGACAAATGCCTTTCCTTAAAAGAACACCAAGAAGGAGAGCAGATAGCTGTCAAATATAAGCTGTCACAGTAGAGGAAGAAAGGAGGCAATTTACCATTAGATAGTTAAATCTGACCTAGAAATTATTGCGTTTTATTGCACATAGCGCTCCAGGAAGGTGCCAGATTTTCAATAAATAATTTATAACCAAATATTCATTGTTTACCTTCCTTCATTTGGATTCTAATACCTTGGGCTTTAACATAGAGATTGAAGACATTCAATCTTTGAACTTCGATTTATGCCTAGACATTTTAAAAGGAAAGTTTTTGTTTATATTCAAATGTCAGAAATTTTTCCTTTTTAGTATTTTGATACAGGAGGGTATTTATGACTTTAAAAATCCCTTACTGTCATTAATTATCAGAGAATCTCTAATGTGCTATACTGAATAATGCAGTGGCACATAACTTAAGATGACAAAGAAGATATGAATTTTCAGCTTTGGGTACAGTGTACCTGGTAAAAAATTGTATTAGTGTGTTATTCTGAGATTAGCTTAGAATCTGATCTCAGAGTAATACGCTGTTCATGCGTGATTCCGAGAAGATATAGAAAAAGCGATGACTATCACTGAAGAAACAGATCCACGAAGATGCAATTAGAGTTATTTTAATAGACTCCTGATGTCTCCTCTGCATAGGGAGATAACCCACCCTCCCCGCTCCCCGATGGACTGACTATAAGCTTTGTGGTTAAAAAAACACAAACTCTTGAATTTTGTTTGTGAGGTAATTTGCTCTCATTCTAGATTTTTTCCATGTTTGTGGCACTCATGCCATGTCGTACTCCTGGTATCCTTCCTGCCCTTTAATTTTCTTGGCCTGAAAATGGAGTTATCTGACAGTTTGGAAAGAGCTAACCAGGCATGCTGACTTAGCAGCTCTTCAGCTCTACAGCTCCTCCTAGTGAGCCTACTCGTACAAAGCAGGTCTTCTTTTCTATTTCCCTAGGGGCAGAGGGCAGCAGAGGGGAGACCTGCTTCAAGTGCTGGAATGACTGGAATGGTCATGTGCCTAATTCTCAGGTGCCATGTTAGCAAGGTGGCATCATTAGCAGACGTTAACCCATGTTATCTAAGTAGGTCTCTGTTAGTAATGGAAATGATATTTGTTCAGAACCAGATGAGGAAGAAGGCTGACTTTCCACTTCAAATAATCAAACACTGCCTACTGCGACTGCATATTCTTATTGTTTTACATGTTTAACATTTTTATCTTTATGTTTTTCTTAGAAACTTACATTTTTTTATAAACACCTGTAGGGTATGAAATTCCTCTATTATTTATTCTTAGAGTTCTTAAAAGGCTTGAATGTGCATCAAGAAGAAATGCTCCAGGAGTCAGTCAGTACATGTGGGATTAGGACAACATTTATTTCCAGTCAATGAAGAATAAGAAATTATGTTAAACAGAAGTCTGCAAAATTTATCCATCAATTCTGGAGTTCAAAGGGCTTAAAGTTTGCTCCCACCTAAGGAGATTTTCCTTTGGGAACTGGAGTTGGATAGGGCTCAAGTATCCACCACCTTCTACAACATTTTTTTTCTTCACTACATGTACCAATGGTATCATCTAGTGTGCTGCATCTGGCGTCTCTGCACACCCCTTTCAAAGCAATACACTGTTTTTGTCCTGGAATAACGCCAGTCTTTCCTACACAGGAAGAGATTTAGGAACGTCATTAATTCACTGTTGGAAATGTACATAAAACAATAAACCCCCAGAAGAATGCCTTTGGGATAGAAAAGAAAACATTATCTATAAAAAAGGATCAGACACTTAGACAAAAATGGTGCCTTTTTATGGGAGGGGAGCTAAGATTGCAGATTATATACACCTTGAAGGAAATAGGCAAATTTCTAAAAACCTTTAAAGGGATTGTCCTCCCTTAGAGCAGTACATTTGGAAATGTGTGGAAACATTTGTTCTTGCCGCTGTGACTAGGGAAGGTGTCATTGGTATTTAGTGGGTAAAGCACAGAATTACTGAATTTTTCACCTAAGGAATTGTCTTGCACCAAACACCAACAAGGCCCCCCTAGGGAACAGTTTCAAAAAAAGTATGTCCTTCCACCTTCCCTTCTGTGTGTACATCATTCTTATCAAATGGTGCAGGGTTGCATCTTTAGCTCCTTTTAAAGAAAGCCTATCAATCCTTTAGATTTTATCTAAACTAATTTCCCCATTTCAGGACTATGTAAGAAATACCTTTCCTATGTTGCTCAGTGCCTCATAAATAAATAGACAGACAGACAGACAGACAGACAGACAGATAGACAGATAGATACTTGCAGAGAATTACTCACAGAGCTAAAAGGTATTTTCCCTTAAGTGTATTCACATTTTCTCTTATTCATTTGGTTGTTGAGAAGCATATGGCTATGGGTGTGCTCTAACTCAGTGGTTTCCTCTATGCTTACTCTCCTTTCTCTTGCTTCTCAGCACAGCCATAGTTTATTTTTCCTACTGTGGATCACAGCAGATGTCATATAAGAAAAACACTTTTGCTTATGTTCCTTAACAGACATTGGCTCCTGAAGCATCCTATTAACACACCTGGATCTTATTTTTGCTATCCTGTAACATTCTACCTCTTGCTTCTTTGCTTCTGCAGTTTGACTAATAGTTTGATGGCCTTTTCGGCTCTGAATCTTTTTGTTGTCGTTGGTTATTGTTTTGTATTTAAACTAGGCTATCCTTATTATTTCTCTATTTTGTCTAAATAGATCCAAAGCCAGAAAAACCAATGCAGGCTTTGGAACTGAGTGCTCATAACCTGTGCAAGATTGTCTTCCACCCTTGTTAGAAGCTTCAACCTAGTAAAGTCTGGTACTATGCTCTACTACCAGATGAGCAGTCTGTAAACTCAGGGTTTCTATGCAGCAAGAGAATGTCCTGATGGGGGAGTTGGATAATATCTGGTAATACTACCTCTTTTTTCCCCCAAGACTATTGTGGAAGAGGAAGTGGTTGCCTTTCAGAGAGAGACTTGAAGTCTCACCAGCCAGTTATGGAAGGTGCTGGCTTAACTGCATTTTGCAGTTGGCTAAACAGCAACTCCCATTTCCTCCTCCCTCCCCAGTCCCTGGCAACCACCATTCTACCACCTGTTTCCATGGGTTTGACTATTTTAGGTACCTCATATAAGTGGAATCATGCAGTATTTGTCTTCTGTGACTGGCTTATTTCATTTAGTGTAATGTCCTCCAGGTTCATCCATGTTGTCACATACGGCATAAAATCTCCTTGGTTTCCCCAATATATAATCAGAAGATTTTGAGTAAAAAATCTGACAGAAATCAGAGTTATCATTTTTGTGTGCATATCCACACCTATGGATTGATAAAAACAGCAACATTGACCCAGATTAAAGAGATTTGATTTTAGCTGCAATGTTGCTACTATGTGATCGTAGTAAAATCACATTCTGTATCTGTACATGGGTTCTATTATCTAAAATAAAAACAATTACCATTAGATTTTATTTTAATTTGAAATCATTACCATCATATAATTTCATATCAGATGTCACCACAAGTGTGTCTGACTTCAGTTGTACCTTCTGACCAATTGCATCTTCTGAGAACCAAAGGAGAATTGCACAAGCTCCTTCAGAAGCAGGCAATCATATGTGAGGTAGGTCTCAACATGTCCACAGAGTAGGTTAAGATCAAACAATTGAGTAGCTTTGATTGCATTTAAAAGAGTATCGGAACTGGAACGGACAAGAGTGCCCTCTCTCACCATCCTAATCAATATAGTACTGGAAGTATGAGACAGAGCAATCAGCCTTTTGAAACAAAAGACATCTAATAGGAAAATAAGTCAAATTGCCTCTTTTTATTGATGATATGATTTTACACTTAAGGCATCCTAAAGACTGTGCCAAAGGGATCCTAGACCTGAGAGTCAACTTTAGTAAAGTTTCAGGAGGATGCAAAATCAATGTACAAAAATCAGTAGCTTTTTTATAAACCAATAATGTTCAACCTGAGAGCCAAGTCAACAATGCAATCCCATTTATAATAGCCACACAAAAAATCAAATGCCCATGGAGACATTTAACCAAGGAAGTGAAAGATCTTTACAAGGGATACTACAAAACACTGTTGAAAGAAATCACAGATGACACAAGCAGAAAAACATGCCCTGCTCTGGATTGGCAGAATAAATATTATGAAAATGGTCATACTGCCCAAAGCAATTTATTCAGTGCTATTCCTATCAAACTACCAATGACATTTTTCACAGAATAGAAAAAAGCTATTCTAAAATTCATATGAAGCCAAAATATAGCTCAGGTAACCAAAATAATCCTAAGCAAAAAGAACAACACTGGAGGCATCATCCTACTTGACTTCAAATTATATTACAAGGCTACAGTAACTAAAACGGCATGGGACTGGTATAAAAGTAGATACATGGAACTTTGAAACAGAATAGAGAACCCAGAAATAAAGCTGCACATTATCTGCTCTTTGACAAAATTGACAAAAATAAGCAACCGAATAAAGGACTCCCTGTTCAATAAAGGGTGCTGGGATAGCTGGCTAGCCACATGCAGAAGAATAAAACTGGATGCCTATCTTTCACCAAAAAATTAATTCAAGATGGATTAAAGATTTAAATGTAAACCTCAAACCATAAGGATTCTAGAAGAAAACCTAAGAAATACCATTCTAGATATTGGCCTTGGGGAATAATTTATGACTAAGTGTTCAAAAGCAATTGCAACAAAAACAAAAATTGACAAGTGGAGCCAAATTAAACTAAAGAGGTTCTGCAGAGAAAAATAAACTATTAAGAGAGTAAACAGCAAACTACAGAATGGGAGAAAATATTTGCTAACTATGCATCTGACAAAAATCTAATATCTAGAATCTGTGGGAAATGTACATAAACAAGCAAAAAGCAAATAACCCCACTAAAAAGTGGGAAAAAGACATCAAAGACACAAACAGACACTTCTCAAAAGAGGACATAGAAGCAGTAAGTAAACACGAAAAATAGAATGTCATTAATCACTAGAGAAATGCAAATCAAAACCGCAATGAGAACTGTCCCACACCAGTGAGAATGGCTATTATTAAAAGTCAAAAAGTAACAGATGCAGATGAGGCTTGGAGAAAAGAATGCACATACACTGCTGGTGGGAATGTAAATTAGTTCAACCAC